GCAGAATTATTGTAATTTTTGATTTCAAACTGCTAAACATTTAAGCTACTAGTTTATTTTTCGAACACAGCTAAAGCTAAAACATGTTTGCCTTAAATTTTGAACATTGCTAAGCTAAACCATGCTAACTTTAGTGGTGTACCGCTAAGCTAAACACTTCTGTGACATGTCATTTACCTTTTCAGGTTTAAAGGTGCCATCTCACCTTGTTTTTTTTCCCACTGAGCAGATTTATTGTAATTTTTATTTCAAACTGCTAAACATTTAAGCTACTTGTTTTTCGAACACAGCTAAAGCTAAAACAAGTTTGTCACTGTATTTTGACTAGCCCTTAAATTTTGAACTTTGCTAAGCTAAACTATGCTAACTTTAGTGTTGTACTGCTGAGCTAAACACTTCTGTGACATGTCATTTACTAACCCTCTTCAGGTTTTCAGGTGGCGTCTAATCTTTTTTTTTTTTTTTAACCTCACAGGGAGCAGATTTATGTTGAGCAGATTTAAGCTACTAGGTTATTTTTCAAACACAGCTTAAGCTAAAACATGTTTGTCATTGTATATTGACTAGCTCTTAAATTTTGAACATTGCAAAGCTAAACTATGCTAACTTTAGTCATGTACTGCTAAGCTAAACACTATTGTGACATGTTCATTTACTAACTCTTTCCTTTTAAGGTGGCGTCTAACCTTTTTTTTTTTTTTCACAGGGAGCAGATTTATTATGTTTATTTCAAACTGCTAAACATTTAAGCTACTAATTTATTTTTCAAACCCAGCTAAAGCTAAAACATGTTTGTCATGTGTATATTGACTAGCCTTTAAATTTTGAACATTGTTAACCCTTTTCAGGTTTTAAGGTGGCGTCTAACCTTTTTTCTTCTTCTTCCCAGGGAGCAGATTTACTGACATGTTTATTTCAAACTGCTAAACATTTAAGCTACTTGTTTTTCGAATACAGCTAAAGCTAAAACAAGTTTGTCACTGTATATTGACTAGCCCTTAAATTTTGAACTTGTTAAGCTAAACTATGTTAACTTTAGTGATGTACTGCTGAGCTAAACACTTCTGTGACGTTCATTTACTAACCCTCTTCAGGTTTTCAGGTGGCGTCTAATCTTTTTTTTTTTTTTTTTTAACCTCACAGGGAGCAGATTTAAGCTACTAGTTTATTTTTCAAACACAGCTAAAGCTAGAACATGTTTGTCATTGTATATTGACTAGCTCTTAAATTTTGAACATTGCAAAGCTAAACTATGCTAACTTTAGTCATGTACTGCTAAACTAAACACTATTGTGACATGTTCATTTACTAACTCTTTCCTTTCAAGGTGGCGTCTGACCTTTTTTTTTTTTTTTTTTTTTCTCACAGGGAGCAGATTTATTATGTTTATTTCAAACTGCTAAACATTTAAGCTACTAGTTTTGAATACAGCGAAAGCTAAAACATGTCTGTCATGTTATTGACTAGTCCTTAAGTTTTAAACTTTGCTAAGCTAAACTATGCTAGTTCTAGTTGTGTACTGCTAAGATGAACTTTATTGTGACATGTCATTTACATGTGGTGGTGGGGTGGTGTCTATCCTTAACATGCTAATCTAACCTTTTTACAGGAAGCTCTGGGATCTTTGGCCCAGTACAGGGTGTGGACTACTGAAAACTGAACCTTCACCTCTATTTGATGTCAAATAGCCAAAAAAGGACCCAGGAGAAAAAACCTCAGGAGATGAAGTAACTGTTGAATTAATCAAGAATTTTTTTTTTTTTTTTTATCAGAGGATATACACAAAAATGAAGAATGAATGAATGAAATGAATAAAGAAAATATATCAACCAAAGAAAGAATGCACCTTGAACTGCAAGAATTAAGCACCTAATACGTCAAAGTCAAAACAAGAAAATGGAGTGCTCTGGAGCTAACTATGAAAGTATAAAAGCCGAACAGTGACTAAACCGTTACATTCTTGAAAAAATGGATTGCATTGTGGACCACCCACAACCGAACATGTCCTGGGACTAATCTGGAGGAGTCCAACCTGCCACAAAAAAGTTTGGGGTCCCATGATCAACATTCGTTCAAAGGTTGGAGGTTGAGAGAATGGCACAAGATGGAACCAAATGGAGAAATGTTCAAACCTGATAATTTTAAATAAAGTTGAAGTTTACTTTGAAATTCCCTCACAAGGGATTAATAATCTGATGATAAATGAGTTAAATACAATCAAGTAACTCAATCAAGGCAACTTCAGGAGCAGTAAGCTGCTGCTGTACATGTGAGTGCTAACCACTCAGCCACCACCCTAATGGAGGATCATATACATACATGACACACTGAATATTCTGACAGTCTTGGTTTTGGTCCAAGGGTTGAGGCCCTTTGTGTTTCTTTTTTTCCTCTTGTGACTTTTATGGTCCAGCACGGCCACACATGGACTGGGTGCAATGGTTCAAACCCAGATGCTTTATACGTTTGGATTGTGACTGAAATAATCTTACAGGGATGATCTCTCCCTGCTGCTGGTTTCACAGGTTTTATTGGTCTGTCTATGCAGACTTAAACTCGGTAGGTATTTGTGAGGTTCTGAACCTTGTATCTTCTCAAAACAAGGTCTGAATATGCTGAGGATTTTCTTAGAGTTACACTCTAAGGCTCTGGTTTTGGGCCTAAACTGGTGTGTGCCAAATTCTAAACACTGGCACACTTTTCTGGAGCATGGTCTCCTTGGTCTGATCTGATCTAAATGTGGATCAGATTTAAACCCTGGTAAAACATGTGATGGTCACATGGGTCTGAGACTAAAACCCCTGATTCCAAATTTAAATTTTCACAGGTTTAACTAAAGTTTTTACTTTGCTTGGTCTAAACCAGGTCTATCTGAAACTAAGCACCCAGATGTGGCTTACTGAATGTGATGTGTTTTGTATTAGATTTGGACTGGTTTATCGAGTGTAATAACTCTGGTCTTAACCTTTACACGACACACACCCTGAAACTGTTTTTTCAAAATTAACACTTCCACAGGTTAAACTGATTTTTTTGTTTCTATTCATTTAGAGTTTAAACTCAGGTCTGAATTGACAATCTTGGGTTTTTGAATGTCTTTGTATTTAATTTGGTCCACACTGGTCTAAAGGTGAGCCACATTTCGACTAGTTTATTATTGTATGGTCCTTACCCTTACATTGGACCGAAATACTGGCTATTCTAAACTAACAATACTTCCACAGGTTAAACTGATTTTTGTTTCTGTTCATTAAGTTTAAAACCAGGTCTGAACTGGGTCTTTGGTTTTTGAATGCTTGTATTTAATTTGGTCCGCACTGGTCTAAAGGTGGGCCAGATTTGAACAAATTTATTGAGTAATAGCTCTGGTCCTAACTCTTACATTGGACCACAATGTTGGTTATTTTAAACTAACACTTCCACAGGTTTAAATGAATTTTGTTTCTGCTCATTTAGTGTTAAAATCAGGTCTGAACTGACAATCTTACATTTTTGAGTGTGTTTTGTATTTGGTTTGATATGAACTGGTCTAAATGTGGGCCAGATTTAGACTGGTTTAAAGTGTGATGGCTCTGATCCAAACCCTTGCACTGAACTGAAATACTGGTTATTCTAATCTCCTAAACTCTTCCACTGGTTTGCATTGTTAATGGTCTGTTCATTTTAACCTTAAACCATTTTGAAACATGTTGACGTTTCTCTTTGAACACTCTAATTTAACACAAGATTAAGTCTGTTACTAACGTTGAGTCATTACTGCCATTTTGTATGTTATTTTGATGATTCTAACCCTAACTCTTCTGAATTTTTTTTCTCGTTGCAGATCTAAACTGTTTTTTACTCTTTTTAACTTCTAAACTAGTCTTCACAGGTCCCAGAGGCTGCTGATTGTGGTGAGTATCTGCAGCACTTACTAACATACTAACCTAACAAAAGCACGGGCGGTGGGTTTAATCCAGCCACAGAGGGCGCTGTGTGTGTCCCTCTGTGCCAGTCCCCAGCCTGGACAAATGGAGAGGGTTGCTTTAGCATAAAACCTGCTGCCTGTATAATCACACATGTTTGAGTAACATTTTATTGTTACTCTGTCTACATCTCCAAAGCTCAATGCTCTGTTCCACCTTGTGATGTCATGTAGTGGTGGTTTTAGAGTTAAATGCTACTTTTTATCTTTAGTTTAGTAGAGCTTGGCAATTCCAGGGCATAAAATATCCAAATGATTCTTGTGCAAATGTATGGGGTTTGAAATCGCAGAAACTTTGGCCTTTTTTTTTTTTTCTAAAGGAGAAAAAGAAAAGAAATGGAATATCAATTATGAATTGGCTGTAATGTGTCAATGTGGGGGGGCCCAGTGGTATGTTTATGTTGCACTACCACATTACTTTTGTTTAATTTAGCCCAATTTGTGTCACTGTCTGAGGTCGGGGGGAAATGTAGTTGTAGTAATCTGTTAAATATTGATTGTTGTATTCTGTTGTCCTCAATTTAAAAAAAAAAAAAAAAAATCCCTTGAGTCGTTCTTCAGTTATGGCCCATTGAAATTTTGGGGCCATGCTCACTTTTTCTGAAGCTTTAATTTATAAGCATGTTTGAAAGACCATAACGTCATAAAAAATAGAGCTAGGAAGCTTTGTATTATTGCAGATTCTTGGTCATAGATTCTGAATCTGTTGTCAAATATTGGGTATCTTTATTAAGAGGGGTGCTGAGGGCCCCCAAAATCTCAAATTTTAAATTCAATTTCTGGTTGAATTTTTTTTTTGAAAATTTTTCAGCCAAATCTGAAATGGCTCATAGGGGAGGGATGCTGAATTCATATGGACTGACTCATATTCATACTCCACTAATGACACTGGTGCAGTCCTGCTTTAGACCTGGTTCAGTCCTGGTTTAGTGTTGGTCTGGTCCTGGTCTGGGCAATAATGCAATTTTACCAAACCAAAAAATAAAAGTTACACTGAGATTCAAGGTTCAAAGTTTTAGAAACCAGAGTCACAGAATTAACCATAACATTATTTATTTATGTATTTATTTATTGATACAGCTAAGTCAGTTCAGGTTCATTACAAGTGACACATTTCAAAATAAGGCTCCACATTACAAGAACAGGCTTTGTGAGAGTTTTTGAACTTAAAATAAAAACACCATTATATTGTTATAAGGTGGAACCTTACCTCATGTGTAAGTGACATCCTTAATCTTTGTAAACATGTTAAAATAATAAACAAAAACACTACACTATGGCAAAGTAATATGCAATTTATTTAACTGAAGAGAACTATAGAAATGTATGGACCGCTCACATCTGTAATTAGATAGTTCAACTTCTGAGGTACAAAGACTTGGCTGTATGGCTCCGAAAATAGAACATATATGAATTTGTTTAAAGACACACTATGTAACTTTACTGGTGGAGGGTTCTGCCAACTGCTTGTCTCCATGGACATGTTAGTACTTTGCCTGGAATGTTCCACAGTGTAATATTAAACGTCTTCTATCTTCCATCTATTCAATTAAATGTGAAAATTCCTTAGCATTATTATTGTGTATGGGTCGCCTTTCCACAGATCTGACCTGAAACTAGGCTGAGGGGGATTCTGGTCTCCATGGAAACAGATAAGTTTAATACCAAACTGGAACATTCTAGGGAAGGCAATGACATCTCACTAGAAACAAAACAAAGCAGGAGTTACATAGAGAATCTTTAAAAGAAAAATAACGCAAACACTTAACGAAAACATTTCAATTAAAATTTTATCCTTCAAAATTTCTAAATATGTTGAGAATACAATAAGTGAAAAACAGTAGTAGGGTAATTTGGTAAACACAACTTGTGAATTTTAAGAACCCAGCTTTAGTAGAGCTAATACACTTTCTGTGATAAAGGTGGGCATCAGAAGTAAAAAATAAAACAAAAATTATAACATATTTTAGGTGAGCTGGTCCTTTTTAAGCCTAGTATTTGTAATATAAGGGCAGTCTGACAGAAAAATTAGCTTTAATACATATTTAATTGTGTTTTTAGACAGATAAAATTCTATGTTTTAAGTTTAGTGACAGTTGGAAAACAAAGGTGCATGGAAAAAACATTTTTAGGTCACACTGCTTAACTTTTCCGGTGGGGGATTCAGCACCTGCTCGACTCTGTGGGATTGTATTTTTAATTTTGCCAGGAATATTCCACAGTAGGGCTTTTAATCAAGTGTCTTAGCTTGGTGACGTGACCTGCTTGTTTCCATGGAGATACTGTGGAATATTTCTCATTTTAACAGAGACAAGTAGGTAGCAGACCCTCCTCCAGAAAAGTAACATCTTCAAATAGAAAAACCACTGTACCATTTCTACTATTAGCTGTACAGTTCTCTCCTTGGCAAACTGCTCCTGTAATATTATAAAGTGATTTTTAAAGTAGGATTCATGTGGTAAGAGTGATAAGTGCTCTGAAGGGGGAGTGACTATCACATTACAATCGGCGTGCATTTCGTTAAAGAAGACCTATCGTGCATGCATTTGCTATATCGTGATAATCTATGACACCCGTGGATCGTTATGTTAGAATTTGGACATTTTAAATTGCAACATGATCTAAAACTGCTGATTTCCGTGTTAGAAAAATGCGGTGCCCAATGGGAGTTGGCGTCATCACAACAAACAGGGTTCCCACTCTTTTTCACTGACACAATTTCAAAACATTTCCATGACATTTTCATGACCTCAAGTGAATTTTCCATGACTTTACAGCACCTACTTGTGTAGAATTGAGCATTATGTTTAGGGCTAAATATGAAATGTTAACCCTTTCCACTCACCTTATGGTTTGGTGTTATAGTTTTTTAACATTCAAAATACTGTCAGTGCATTTATTGTCGTCTTTTTAAGTTCTCATTAGACTATTATGATTAACAGAACGCTGTAGTTGCATGAAAGAAGATGGTAAAATGCCATGAATATTCCAAGCCTGGACAAATAACGATGTAAATTTTGATGACTTTTCCTAGATTTCCATGACCGTGGGAACCCTGAACCAGCACCTCCAATGGATAGCTGCTAGTTTGTTTTTTTTTTTTGTTTGTTTTTTCAGTTCGTACCAAAATGTGTCAAATATGTATCACTGATTAAGAAAAAACGCAAGTGCAGAGGAGTGGGCGTGTACCGCTGAAGGTGAAAACGATTTGATTGGCGAAATGGCGTCTTGAAAATAAAGTTTCCTCAAACATCACTCCAAATACAACTTCGGGTGAGAAAAATGTGAGGGGAAACAACTACAACATGATTAAAACCTCTGAAAAGTCGATTTTTTTGCGTAACAGGTCCACTTTAATAAAACCGCTGCACATCTTATCAGATTTGTGAAGTCGTAGTACCACATAAATCCTACTTTCAAAATCGGATCTCAAATGTAAACGTATCAGCTGCATGCCCCCCGCTCCGACGTACCACGACACAATAAAAGAACATCGATTTAACGTAATATTATTAGTTCAGACTTCAGACAGCGCGGTCCGCAGCAGCAGCAGCAGCAGCAGCAGCAGCTCAAGGCATTTCAGCAACAGTGATTGACTTTGGCTTAGTGCATAGTGTATTTACATAGGAGACAGATGAATTCGATTATTAGACTGTGCGGAATAACGTTGCAGCAGGATAAGCTAAAACGGACACCAAACTCCTTCAAACAGAGACAGTCCAGGAAGATCAGGAGTCTGTTTGTATCTGTTCACACATTTATATTACACAGAATTGACTCTATTCACGTTACATCACAAATCAGGGAGACGTTTGGAAACATGCGATGACAACTTCCGCAAGCTCTATTCGTGGTAGGAAGTCTGACAAAATCTCGAAAAAATTTGAAAATGTCCCAGTTTTCTTCATCTCCATGTCATTGTAGTGTTCCGTTATGTTCAGCTAATCAACAATTAGAATCATACCTCAGTTTTCATTATTTCCCCACTGACGCACAACTCCGCAAGCACTGTGTACATGCGATAAGAAGAGACGAGGTGTCAAATTCAAGATGATTCCAAACAGCACATAATTACTTCAAGGTTGTATGGAGGATTTTTTTTTTTTGTTTCAAATTGTCAATGAAAGTTTAAAATACCATTACAGAGACGCAGCAACCTTGTAATTATGATGACCAAAAAAAAAAAGAATGAAAATCTATCATCTGTGGATGTAGTGAGGCCAGATAAACATCAGCCAATAGAAAACGAGGCTGCCTCATTTTCTATTGGCTGTTAGGTTGTCAGTCAAACGCCCTCGTGTAATTGACTCGCCAGCGTGCGGGGATTACTTGGTTTCTGCAGCGGTTCTTAGAGGCTTTTTCAAACGGTTGCTGAAAGGAGAAAGCGAAAAGGAGCAAAATCAAACTGAGGTGATTCTTGGAGATTCCTTCCAGCGACTGAAGCAGACAAAGGGTCTAAAAACAGATGCATCGGTCGCTAAATTACTTCTAGACAGGTCACTTCAACAGTAATTCTGAACACGTACTGGCTGTAAAGAGGCGGGAGGAGGCGTTTCTACTGAGGGAGCTGTGGAGGAGGACGATGGTGTCACGCATGCACAAGGACTGTCGCTGTACTTTTCTTCCCTTAAAAAATCCTCTGTACAACCTTTCAGTGGGTTTTATCACAGTCAGTCAGCGAGCCCAGTGTCAGGAACTACACCGAAAGTTGTCATCGCATCTTTCTAAACGTCTTTCTTTTCTTAAATAGAGCCCACTGACACTTGTGAGCTTTTAGTCATATTTTTAATGTTGTTCTCATATCGAAAAACACACCTGGAGTTGTGTTTGGGTTCATTTACACACATCTGAGTAATCCTGCATCATTAGTCTGTCTAGATCTTCAAGTAGTTTTCAAGTGAACAGCTCCTTTTACCTTTAGGTCAGTAGAGATTGGCAATTCCAGGGCTGAAATTGTCCAAATGGTTGTAGTGAAGGTGTGTGGAGTTTAAAAACACAGTGGAGCACCTCCTGTATTAACACAAGTAATCACAGGGTGGAACAGTGCAAAAAAGCTTGGCCAAAACTTAAGAGATAAACGCTTAAATCTATCAGAAAGTAACTCAAAAGTAGTGTAATTATGTGTCCATGCAGCAAGATTATTTTAAGATAACTTGTGTAAAGTAAAATTAACAATCTGTAGACTAGAATGAAGCAGTCTCTGGTCTAGTAAGTAGATAAGAAATCTGAAAACAAGATAAATAACCTGATATAACTTTTAAAATCTTGGCCAGATCAGAGAAATTTGCAGTGAACAGTGTTTTAAGAGTGTCTTTAAATATGCAGGGTTTGTGTGTTAAACATGTGAATGAAACAAAACACAACTCCAGGTCTGTTTGTGATGAGGAAACAACATTATAACAGCCCTGAAAATAGAGTAATATAGACCTTTTTAAAGTGGGACCAAACACCAAGCTAAAAGTTTAGTCCTCGAGGCAATGCCCAGTTTAAGGGAAGAGAAAAGGAGTTGGATTTCACAGGTTTCTTCAAATATAGTGACTGAGTTTAACCAAAGACCTGTTAGAAACCACTGCAACTTCAAAAAGAACTAGGGCTGCATCTCATTTCTCTTTCCTCGCTTCCTTCTCCTCAATTCTGCAGAAAATGGGTGAGGAAGTCCCACTGACGTCAGCTCCTGAAGCCTCCCTCATGTTTACTCCTCCATTCCGTGGTTTTCTCTATTAATACGAAGGCATTGAAGGCAGCACAAACTTAGATTTAGGTGTTTTTGACCAGAAAGCTGCAAATGTACCTGCCAAAAATGACTAGGAACAGTAGACAATGATACTAAAACACCATATACACAGTTCAGCAGCAAAAAAGTGTATGTACTGTTTAGTTCCACTTTAAGTTAGTACAGGACTACCAGTTTAGAAATATATTTAAAAGATTCTGCTATTTAGTATTTAGTTGGGCAGAAAACACTATTTTCAAGAATCAGATTGCGAATTTAGTGTTTAGCCCCACTTTAAAATCTCTAGCTCATTTCAAAGGCTTTAAATGTTTGTCAAGACTTGTTTTCTGAGCATTCAAACTGTTTATTTTTGTGTCTCTCCTTCATTCCATTAATTACTCCCCAACACTGGTACAGACCTAGACCCTCAAGGTCCAGTCCAGTTCTGGTACAGACCCGGTTCAGTCCTCTGTTGTTGGAGTTTGTGTCTCAATGTGCAAAAGTCTAACAGGAGCCACACCTGTGAACAGTGTTGGGCTCTTTCTCTGAGTTCGATTGGATCAGTTCAATCTGGAAAATACAAACAGCAAAATGTTAAGACGATAATCAGATGTAATGTACTATTGAAAGTGAAAGAAAGAAAATTGACATACATTTTGTGGCACAGGAACAAGTGTTTCATTATTTAAATTACTATTTACTTACATTTTGCACCCTAAAAAGCTGAAATATTGGTGGTATTTTTTAGAGAGAAGTTTATTTTTACCTTTCATTTGAACTTGTTTCTTGCAGCAGGTTTAAACTAGACCTGAAGGAGAGAATAGTCCATGTTAAACCTCTGTATTGTGTAATACTGTGTAACAGATGTACAAATGTGTGTTAGAATACGACAGCATGACTGTAGCGGCCTCACCTGGTCGATAACGAGCCACTTGAGGGAGCTGGTTTGCAGTTCTGTCCCACTCAGAGGCTCTCGAAGTCGGACCTTCACATCCACACGACCCCCGGTGTGTTTACGACCATCCATCACCTCAAACACACACGGTTAGATTTTATAAAGAGATAGATCAATATGTTGGTTGGCTGATCTTTGCTTTTTTTCCCCCATTTTTTTTAAATTAAATATCCAGCAGTGGCCGACCTGCTGCCTAAAGAATATACACACTCCTTTATTTGAACACTTAAATGCAAAAAGACAACTGCACAAACCGGACGACACAGCTCTCTTCAAAGTTTGTGGTAAAAAGGGCTGTGGGTTTTTTGCTCTACGTATCAGTCCACAAAAATGGGCAGAGCTTATAGTGGAAAATATGTATTCTGCAAGTTACTTTATTCTACACTTCATATTTAAAGGAGACATTATAGAAATTGGACTTTTATGACAGTGTTATAGTGTATTTTGATTGTTTCATGCACGTTTGAGTAATTGTGCATTGTCCTTCATTCTATCTCTCTCAAAATTCAGCTCGGAGTAAATTAATATTGATTGAGGAACATTAGAACATGACTAAAAACAGAATTTGACATGTCCCCTTAAGTCAGTTTTTGATCAGTATTGTGGTTTGCAAGAACACAAGTGTAAAAGTAGGTCTTATTACATAGAGTGTGCTGTTTTCATCATTTCACATAAATCCTCACCTCCACAATCTCCCTGATTTCGCTCTGATTTTCCAAACCCTCCAGTTTGACCACAGCCGTCCCGATCGGTTTGTCACTTCGCAGAAAACCACTGAAAACACATCACAAGCACAACGTCTATTAGAAAAATTTACTTACAGTGTCATATCTTTAGTATGTTTTAACATGACATTCCTATAGGAGAGCGCCCCCTGCTGTTCAGACTCACCCTTTATGAAACAGCTCCAGTTTTAAGCCTTTCGACGTCACCAGGCGCCTGAACCCTCGGTGGTTTCTGTTTATCGTTAACGTGAAGCTCTGATTGTACTCTGTCAAAATAAAACAAGACAAAACATAAACATGGGAGCTAATTTAAACTTGACCTCACCAATCACAGTCTAATATTTTATAAATCTATACCAGGACTGTCAAAATCAATATTAATCAAAACTAGTATTGAAACTATCAATCTGTACTAAAAAAAAAAAAAAAAAAAATCACATTAACAGGACACAAAATTAACTTGAAAAGCTTTTGAACAAATTTCTTAATACACACCTTATACACAAAACATAGAATTTATAATAAAGTTCTGTAGTTTCATCTAAACAGAGTCAGCTTTCTCACCTGGACAGTTTGTGTTCTTAATAACAGATGTTTTGTGCTTCTGTGCCTGCTCCTGAAAAACATCAAACCATCAGCCACAAGATTTGAGAAAATAAAAGCGTAAAAATATGTCCTAAATCTCTTACCGTACTGGGGTAGGGGAAGTCAAACTTTATAAAGGCGTCGAGGTCATTCGTTTGGATACCTGCCAGAAAAACAAATTTTAGCCTGTCAGTATTCGGTAATCAGACATTATTATAAAATGACTACAGTGTTTTCGTTTTTCTTACCACTGGGAGCAGGTAGATTAATCCCTTTGACAATAATGACCACCATCTCTGTACTGCTCAGCTCTGGGAATATACTAAGAAAAAAAGAGAAATAAAAGGGATTAAAGATACATGATAATAATACACATGGATAAGAAACATGTGAGGGATTTAGGCCGGATGCATTAGTTAATTATTGGAATATAAACTTTTAATAGATATGTTTATAGAAGCATTATTATTAAGTATAATGAGGTGTCACATCTCCTGCGTAATTTCACTGAAAAAGAAAATTAAAGCCGTACTTCAGAATATTCCAAGTGCATATAGGAGTTTTATGGCTCTAGACTATAGCCAAAGGAACAAAATTTCCATTGGCCCTCCTCAAGGCCAAAAAAAAGTCTTAATTTAGTCTATGTTTTGGCTAAAAAGCTATAAACTGGGGTTTTAAATGTAGTAAATAAAGGCTGCAACTAACAAATATTTTTATTGATGGATTCAACATTTATATTAATCTCACTGTGTATGTAATGGTAATGTAATATTCACTTTTGTTACTTAATCTAATTATAATCAATGTATCAATATGTGCACTTAAACAATTCTGTTTCTGAGTATTGCAGATTTCATGAGTTTGCAGAAGGTCACGAAGTCCTATCAAATCTAATAACAGGAAACATCTTGGGCGACCATTGCTTAAGGAGGATAAAACTAAGGAGGATGAAACGAGGAAGGGCAGACTGACCTTAACTCTGGCCTGAATACTGTATTGAAGTGTTATTTTTGTGTTTCCTGTAAGCAAAAGAAGAACTACTCCTTTAATGTTTAATGTTTGCATGTTCCCCCTCCCGTTCTGAGAGGAGTAGTTCCCATTGTAACTAGGGGTCCTAATATTGAATAAAAGGCGTGGAGAAACGAGAGAAGGCTTTAGAGGGTATTGGGTGAACAACAACTAGTTTCATGTAACTAGAGTTCTTCTCTCGGTACTCCCTCCACGCGTGTAAAAGATATTAATCTCTTGTCTTCTCTCTTGTTAAATATTGAGTATAGGTAAAGGTGAACCTATCATTTATACATTTTTAACCAGATAGAAAAAAATAATAAATATGCTGACTGGAGGATTCTACATTGTTTTTGTTTTTTTTAAATGCAGCTGTCTTTGTTATAAAACATGCTTTAGTCTAGTTAATTAAAATGAATTAAAGGGCCCATATAACGCTCTTCTCTGATCTGTTATAATGTTGTTTCCTAATCCTTTGCCTGTTATAATAAACTCATTTTGTTTTCCTCCATGTGTGAAATACCAAATGTATATAGTACCCCACGGTGTGAAAAGCCCTCTCCTCAAAGTGGTGTTTTGGAGGCGGTAACCCTCGACTGTGACTCAGCTTCAGCAGCTCCAGGCTCTTCTTACAGCTCTCCGCCATTTTCTCAAACCTGCAGCAAACAAGAAACACATCACATTTAACTGACGAAAAAAAAAAGATAAATCGTAATCAAATCGAACATGAAAATTGAATGGGTGTAATCAGCGAATCACAAAGGCTGTAATTTTTACCATGATACATACTATCATTTCCTCCACAAACAACAAGCTATCAGTGTAGTTTGGATCTGAAAGGTGATTCTTGCATTAGTTTGTCAGTTCATATTTCAGTGTTTTTGTCAGTTCTTCTGGATTCAATTGAAACGTAAACTTTTTAAACACTCTATATAAACCAAATGCCTTTTAATACCATCATTATTACTGGTCACTGGTTTAGATTACAGACAATGGCCACGTTTACATGATGATTTTTTAATTACGAATGAAATAGTTCGTAGTTAAAATATTCTCCTTTGAGTTTACATGAAAATAATCATTCTGAATTGACACGGAAAACATGTTAAATTGCCTTTGATTTAATTCCGCTCAACGTCTGGGGTCGGGAAGGGTTCTGATTGGACAGAGACATGAACATATTTACGTCGACCGGAAGAAAACACTTCAGCTGCTACCCACTTTTTCATCTAGGTTTTTCGTTACGCCACGGACACAAACATGACACAAACTTTTTTCGCGGTCGTTTCGATGATAATTGCGCAACAGCTGGAGAATTCTACCATCACGCTTTACGTCTGTCAGTTGAGAAGGAGAAGGAAGAGTGTCGGAAAAGGGAGGAAGAAGAAACAAACTAAGTCAACAGCTGCTCTACCTCAGCCCACTCCTGCATCCCGCTCTCAAATCCAAAGAGACATAGATGAAAGTCCAAAGCCAGGACTGGTGGAGCCAGATCGTCCGGATCGTGTCAAAAGGACAACCCAATGAGCATACGCTGAACAACCGGAATTATTTTTAAGAAGAGTAAACGTTTACATGATCAAGGAATAAATAAATTCCGCTTTAAAATTGGGATAAACCACCTGCTTACTTTGAAATTAAGTTTAATACTGAATAATATTTTTTATTAGGAATTAACTTTTTACATGGTCTTTTTAAAGCGGAATACATTTTAATTCAGAATTATAATTTTTTTTATTTGGAATTAAAGCTCTTATGTAAACGTGGCAAATGTCAGCAAACATATAGATTGAGACACTGTACTCACTTGGTTGTCTCTTTGACGTTGCCCAAATGAGTGAACTGCTTGGAGTGAGTCATACATTTCTAAAAAACAAACAAGTAGGAGATGTCACAGCTATTTAAAGTTTAAAAAAAGTTAGGTTGACACATTTTTAAACTCAGTGGATCCCCACAACATATTGCAATTTGCCTGGCAATTCCAGACTGAAATCACAGTATTTTTTAAACAAAGGGAGATCAGTCTGGTCCAAGCACCTCTAGTACGTCTCGAGCCAGAACCAAACATGATCATCCAATCTGATTTGTTTATTTCAGTGACGCATGTGAAACGAAGGAGCTGATTGATCTCACCTCTCTCACTTCAGATCACTTTTGTGCTTTACTCATTGATTCTGTAGAAATCTGATGTTTTTTAGTTTTTCCTTTTTTTTCTTCCAAATTTTACTTTCATACAGAGATTACAAGAGACCAGATTTGCATCTTTATAAAGTATTGAAGATGTCTGTACGAAAAAATAAATATACAAATAAAAATAAACATCGCTTGCCTCATACTGCTCTTGTAGGATCTTGGTGAGCTGGGCGTAGATTTCCTCTGCTTTCTCTGAGAGCTGAACGTCGCTGTGGTGAATCATGATGAAGTCGTCGTCCTCATCACCGGGTGGCGACGGAATCTACAGCATAAGACAAAACCGATATGAACCTATAACACTATATCACGTGAAACCAGCCTATTTCGAGACATGTATATTGTGTATTATAAAGAAACCTGAAATTTCAATCTATAAAATTCACTATCAGATGTTACCACAGTCATTTTATCACCCCCTTCCCCTTGTCTCATGTGTTTACTATGTTTTTAGTAGTTTTATTGTGACTTTGACTGTCCTTGTCTATTCTATGTTTGTGTACAGCACTTTCGCCAGCTGTAACATCTTTAAAGCACTTCATAAATAAAGCTTGAATGGTATAGTATTTTACTAAGGTGACCAGACGTCCTTATTTACCCGGGACAGTCCCAGTTTTGAGCCCTATGTCCCTTGTCCCAGCAGATTTATCCAAAACCATTGATTTGTCCCAGTTTTATACAAGAAATGTCCCTGATGTCCCTATTTTTGACCAAAATTATCCCTGCCAACAGTAAAGAGAGGCATACATTGACATTTGTTGTGGTAAAATACAGAAAAGCTTCTTAAAAATGATCAAAACACAAAGAAAAGAGACTATACTGGCTCACATGTAAGTCACGAATGGGCAGGTCTTAAGTTACGCATTTTGTTTCAGTTTTATTAACCAACCACCCCAAACCGAGAGGTGTCACAGTTTTTGATTTTGAAATTCTGATCCTTATATTTGACCTCACCTGGCTGATGTTCATAGGTTTTCCCGCTCGAGCTGCTTCGATCATGGGCTCCAGTGCTTTGGCTTTCCGCAGCAGAGCCTTGGCCTGGTCCAGCTCGTTCTTCTGCTTGGCCTGAACAGCCGCCTTTAGCAACTGCTTCCTCCTGTTCTCCAACGTCTCCACCTGATCCGCTGGAAATGGAGAATTAGGTTAGTATGTATTCCTTAAAGGGGAAATATTAACAAAAAAATAAATAAAAATAACAAAACACAAGCCTGGTAATGCTTTTATTACAATGTTATAACATGATGAAAGTTAGAAAAGCTATTTTAAAGAGGCGGTATTTTACTTCTATGGGGTATTAACTGCTAACATATAATATATTTAGATCACCGTGGTACTTTTTACTGTTTTGAAAATGCTATATTCGCCGAAAACAAAGTATTAAAATGTTTTATAAGTCTCACTTTTGTCACTCCCCCTGCCTGCTTCAGAGTGCAGTCTCAACACAATTGGGGTGCCAAAGCAATGACTGCACACTGGATGAGGTTTGTAAAGTTGTAGTGTATTTTGTATCATGCTTTTGTAGATTCAAATGTAGATTTTGTAGATTGAAAATGTTTGTTTGTAAATTAAAAATATAAAATTGTTATGTTGGAGCTTTGGACAGAATCTGACTGCTAACCGTAAGAAAGGTTCAAACAGGACCTGGGAGAGATCGGTAAATTCCTCAAACATGCACGGATGACATCTAAAACCTTTTCAGACATGTTTTTGATGAAAGAACAATTTTATAACATGATAGAAAACGCTCTTAATTGTGACTCACATGTTGGAGAAAGTGCGTCCTTCTGAGATCTTCGGTCTGGAGATGGGGTCCTCTTCTTCTGTGGAGCTGCGGGCAGGTCCAGTAGTGGCTTTTTGGGCTCCTCCGGCTTTGACTAAAAACAAAAACTACATTAAAGAAAGAAATCACAGAGAAAACAGTAGAAATGCACTCACTCATTAAGTTAAAGTACAACATTCAGATTATTTCAAAGCTGCAAGTTTCCTAAGGATGTTAGGTTGTTGCACAACAAAAATCTGATTTCTAAAGTTATCAGATTGAAACATTTCAAGTTGCATCTAATGCAGAAATCGACAGATGTTTTTTTTATGGCCAATCCTAATTTGTTTTGAATCCAGCACCGAAAAGGTCTACTGATAGTTTTTGGCCAATATGTATTTTGATCATTTTACCCAAATTATGCCATTTTAATTTACCAAAAACTCAATCACTACTTCTTTTTGTCACAAACCTGTAGCTGTAGTCAGGTTTTGTACAGTCATTTCTTTGTTCAAGTAAAAATTTAAGGCCAGTTTTAGTCAGTGAGCTAAAAAGTACAAATATCGGGCAAGTACATATGACAATATCTGTCCATCTCTAATCTTGATATAATCTGACTTCTCTCTGACCAAGTGTTCATGGGTTAACAAAAAATTAAACAAAAAATTCAACAAAAAGGCAAAGTAAAAACAAAATGTACAAATGTAAACGACTGAAAGCTCATTTAAAAATAATTATACTTTGACCCACTGTGGAAATCGTTTAATTTACTGACAGATCTTTCCACATGTTTTGTTAAAATTTCAATAGACAGATCTGGGTTATCCAATTTCTCCATTTATCAGATGTTTTAACTGAGTTTCTTCTCTCATCTATGACAAAAACAAACTTAAATCCCCACCTCTGCCTCCTGCTCCTCTCCCTCGTCGTCTTCTGCAGTTTGGTTGACGTCCGCAGAGGCCAGTTTGTGAGCGGCCTCCAGTGCTGCCACTATCCCCTGATCTGCCTCTGGAGTCTTTTGTCCGGGGATCGGAGGGAAGCCTGACAAAAAAAAAAAAAAAAAACACCTCTTAACAGGGATGGTCTGACATCAATTTTTGAGTCAATACCGTTGCTATTATAATTTTTGCAGATACAAACAATACATTACACTTTTTAAAACCACAGCAACGGCCAGATTGTGGCATTTGTGTTATAGTGAAGTACAAATTAAGTATTCCCTTTTGTTAAAAGTAATAAAACTGATTTTGTTATAAAATATATTGTCACTTATTTATTCTTTTCAAAAAGACAAATCTGATGCACTAACAGGGTATCCCCGGGTTTGCCTACAGTGACCTTTTTAAGACCACTTAAATGAAAATTAAGACCAACATCACACCCATTATGCCGGTGAAAAACACCAGATCCAGTTCTAATGACCAATCAACTACAGATTCTATATCTAGAATCTAAAGCTACATTTATATGGTGGCGGTCCTAACCGAAGACACAAAAGTGGCGCAGCGTCTTCACTTTTTATTCCACGTTTAGACAAGCGTTTTCAGGAGGAAATCTGAGAGCATACGGTGATGCAAAAGTGTGTGGAATTCGACTGGGTTTACATGCCAGGCGGCTCGGTGGTGACGGATGTGATGTAAACACATATACGACGTGAGCAGATCTGACCAGAGTTTTGCGTCTTGGACAGTGTAGACTGAACTGATTGGTTTTGGTGTCGGCGGCAATGAGTAAACAAAGTATTATTTGCGCATACTCCAAATTAGACGTTCATTCACGTTGTTTTTTTTCCCCCTCCCTCCATTGCACTGCAGCCCGGTTGAGTAAACAAAAAAACAGGCTAATGAAATTTAAGACCTTTGTGGAAAAAAATAAGACTTGGACAACATCATTTTTTAAGGCCTTAATTTAGGAACATGAAATTTAAGACCTTTTTAAGACTTAAGACCTTGTGGCTGCCCTGACCAAGGTCACACTGGAAATGACATGTGGTGGATACCTCTGCCACCACTCCACAGTGTCAGTATTATTTCATTTCATTTACATTAAGTTAATTACAGCACATAATTTAATTCCTTTATTCAGACTTATATTCTAATTTGGATGCACACATTTTAATTAATATAAGACTGAATTATTAAGTTTGTCTAGTTTGTTTTAAGATCACTTTATTATCACTTATTATTTTTGTTACTTTAAGTTAGTAGTTTTAGTTAATAATTTAGTGTAATTCTCCCCTCTTGTGTTCAGTTTTAGTTGACCCTGATATATTTAATTAAACACCCCTGTTCTTTGTCTGGTTGGGTTTAGTTTTGTTCTGTTCAGTTTGATTTAAGTTACCCCAGTTGGACCTGGTTTTTGTTAATGATTTACCTAATTTCAGCCTTTGTTAAATTATCTCTTTTTTGACTTTATTAAATTTAAACTCATTTTTATACCTTGTCCTTGTCCACTACATTACAGATGGAAAAATATCCGTGTCAAATATCAGCAAAATTTTCTATATCAGAATGTTTTATTACTGATAGTGATCGCTGAAACTGCAGATAACAGTTGACCGAGAAACATTTCTGACAATGCATGTTATTTTGGAATCTATTAAACTGGAATGTATTAACTGGAACTTTTCACACAGCAAAGACATGAAATGAAATGTGGAGCTGTGTGAAGGTCAGCGCACACCGAGGCAGTGAGGCAATGACAGGAGAGGAAAGGCTGGAGCAGTTTAATGCCAAAGGGTGTCGATGCCAGTTTGAAAAGGGTAAAAACATGCATTTACAAATAGACTATTTACAAGGGCACTAAAACTCACCAGGAGGGACCGGGAGCTCGTCAAAATTTACAGCTTTTCCTGCTTTGTGGGCTCGAATGGCATTCTGATATTGCTGCAAAAAAGGACAGAATGTGATTTATTTTTTTTAAATGAGGAAAGATGTCGAGCTAAACAGAGATTAAACCAGGTCTGAACTAGGTGTGAACTAGGTCTAAAGCAGGTCTAAAAGGTCTAAAAAAAGGTCTAAAGCAGATTTGAACGAGGGCTAAACGAGGTCTGAACCAGGTCTGAACCAGGAAGGTCTAAGCTAGGTCTAAAGCAGATTTAAACAAGGTCTGAACTGGGTCTAAAGCAGGTCTGAACCAGGTGTGCACAAGTTCTAAGCCAGGTCTAAAGCAGGTCTAAACGAGGTCTAAACGAGGTCTAAACGAGGTCTAAACGAGGTCTAACGCAGGTCTAACGCAGGTCTAACGCAGGTCTAACGCAGGTCTAACGCAGGTCTAACGCAGGTCTAACGCAGGTCTAACGCAGGTCTGAACCGGGTTTAAAGCAGGTCTAAATCAGGTCTAAAGCAGGTCTGAACCAGGTCTGAACCAGGTCTGACCTAGGTCTAAAGCAGGTCTAAAAGGTCTAAAAAAAGTTCTAAAGCAGATTTGAACGAGGGCTAAACGAGGTCTGAACCAGGTCTGAACCAGGAAGGTCTAAAGCAGGTCTAAAGCAGATCTAAACAAGGTTTGAACCACGTCTGGACCAGGTCTGAACCAGGTAAGTCTAAAGCAGATCTAAAAGCAACTCTAACGAAGGTCTAAAGCAGGTCTAAAAGTAGGTCTAAAGCAGGTCTAAAGCAGGTCTAAAGCAGTACCTTGGCGATGCGGTCATGCATTCGGGCTTTGCGGTCGTCCCCGTTGGCTTTGGCCTGAGCTGAAGCCTCCACATATTTAGCCTTTCTCTGTTCAAGAGCCTCCAGAGCGTCTTTGGGAGGAGCAGGGACAGAGGGGGCAGCTACAAAAAGGAAAGAAATCACTCTGGAGTTAAAGGTACACTGAGATTTCTCTGGTGAGGTGTGCGTGTCACCATCAAGTTGCAAAGTGTTACCTGGAGCAGCAGAGGGCGGTGGTGGAGCAGCTCGAGTAGGACGGCCTTTCACAGGAGCAGAGGTTCCTCCAGAGCCTACAGGAAATCAGTGTATATCAAATATCAAAATAAACATGAAGGAAATTTATAGGTGACATAAGCCAGCAACAGAGTAACTGGTGAGGGCTATTGTTCTTTGCCCGTTTCTACTTCTCTATTATTACTTTTCATGCAAACTTTTGTGATTTTTGAGGGCCTAAACATTGTTGAAAAGCCTCCAAACAGTATATGGGATTGACTGATCCTGTGAAAAATGTGACAATGCCCAAAGTGACCCGACTCAACAGCGTTGCCTCAAATTGGACCCCTATGGGAGTGGGGACAGGCAAAGTCTGACGTAGGGAAACGAAATTCAGAATAGTGATAGAAAACAATAAGCCAAGTCAAAAGCTGAATTGAAGCATGGCTCTGTGATGAACTGGAAGTCGGTCATATTGGATCAAAAATTCGCCACCGTTTTGATTGTGTGTTTGTAAAAAGCTACTAGTACCTGGTTTTTGGTCCAATTTTCGGAATATTCTTTACAGTTTGCCCGTAACACGCCGACAAACACTTAATTTCCTATTTCTTTGATGACTTCTCGCTGGTACAGGCATTGGTCTAGAGAGCTTAAATTCAAATCACAATTGTGTGATCACGGCCTGAATGTCATGGACGATGAAGTCTAATACAGCTTAACACTATAGCGCCCCCTACCATAGGCATGAAATGTCAACATTCTATGAATGATTACAACATTTAAAGGTGTACTGTGTAATTTTTCTGATGGAGGATCTGTGGGCCTGGGCAGCTCTTAGGAAGGGACAACAGCATGTCGGCCGGTCACGGATGGGCGTGCCCGTGTGCACCAGGGTAAGGGCCATCATCGCCGCGGGTGCATTTAATTCTGTTTGTCCTTCACATTTAGCTTGTGTCCTTACCCTGTCCTAGGGATGGTGGGAGACTACTGAGGTCCACCGATTCTCCTCTCCCCAACGCCTCCAACACGGCGTCAAAGCCCTGAACAAAACAAACAAGATTTTATGAAATTCAGGTTTTTATTTCCTATTTTTCATACCTGGATTTGTGTTTTGTTTAATTCACACTTGTTTAAGTAACACTTTATCATTCGTATGTCAACATCTGTCTACAAAACTCAAAATGCTCTGTTCCATTTTGTGATGTGATATTAAGTGGTAATTTTCAAGTTAATAGCTCCTTATCCAGAATATTCTAGTGTATGGAGTTTAAAAACACAGTGGAGCATTTCCTGTATTACCACATGACATCACAAGGTGGAAGTGCATTTTTTTGCTGTTTGAGAGAAGAACTCAGCCTCAGTATGGACACATGTAGGGAGCAGCACGTCTATCTAGATCCAGATATCCCATTCAAAAACATAGAAAAACACAAAAAAAACATAGAAAAAATGCATCTGTCGTCGTGTTGTCTGAAAAAGCAGTTCAAAAGCTGTGCACAAGCCTGAAAAGCACGTGAAAAGCAAAACAACATTTGGATATCACTTTGAAGGGCGATGATGTTCCCTTCCCCCTGTATAAAACACTTGTTGAGTGAGCATTGTTTTCTTCACATTCTCCAAAAGTTTCAGATATTTCTTCATTTATCAGGTTTCAACACAAAAAGCTCTACACATGTTGTCCCAAAGAATTGCATTAAACTATAAATAAAAACAAATAAGCTGGTAAAATTGAGTATAACTGACTAAGCCCAGAGATACTGTATATGAACGCAGTGTATGAAAAGTGTGTGACGGTTTTAGGAGCTCGTTTCCTGGAGGCAACGAGCTAAATGTGAGTAGAAATTCTCACCTTGCTGATCCTGAAGAACTGCATAGCTTGCTCCTTGTCCCCCTCTTTCTTGGCTCTCAAAGCAGCCATCTTGTATTCTCTCTGCCTCTCCAAAAGCATCGTCCTCGTGCCGTCGTTCGCTGTCAGATTTACCAAAAGAAAAGACATTTGAGTTGATCACATGGGTAAAATATGAAAGTATATTATTGCTTTGCCTGAAATGTTCCCCAGTACGGCATTTAACGTGTCTTGCCTAATTTGATTACAGGTTTATTGTGCACAAAACCCCCTTCCAAAAAACATGCATTCCTATTCTGAGCCTCTTCCCAGATCTGACCTGTAACTTTGTCTGGTGGTGTTTTTGCTTGTTTCCATGGAAATATGTTTAATACCATAGTGTGCAACATTCCAGGTAAAGCAATAACATCTCTCTAAAAAGCCAGAAAGTTACATTGTGCACTTTTTAATAACCTCCCTGATCTGTTATCAGCTGTATTAAAAGCCCCATTATATAACTTTCCAGGAATGGAAAGTCAACAGATTCCATGGAAATAGAAAGTTTAAAAACATGCTTCGTAACATTCTCCCTGGAGATAGATACGTTTTAAGATATATCGGTACTGTGGAATATCATAGCCAAAAGAACAACATTTTTTTATGTTTGCGGAGGTTCAAGCTGGTTCACAATAAGTACACATGTTTTTCAGCGCAATAAATCCGTAACAAAATTAACAAACATGCTTCTATTTTAGTTTATTTTTAGGCTAAAAAGTTACATGCTGTGGTTTTTGGGTGGAGGGACAAAATGAAAATGAATGTTTTTATGTTTGTTTTATACCCCATACACATTCTGTTGCTTTATAATTGGATACTGACAGAACACAGTGGTCTCATTTTGACCCCAAGGGCAGCTCGGGTCCTGACTCGAACTCGGAAGTACGAGCACATAAGTCCTGTGCTCAGGTCTCTCCATGGCCTACCATCAAAGTACATCTGTGACATGTTGGTGCCGTATGAACCATCTCGCACTCTGAGGAGCTCAGGGACCAGCCTCCTGCTGGTGCCCAGAGTCTGGACTAAACACAGGGAGTCAGCATTTCAGATTCATGCAGTTAAATCCTGGAACTTCCTGGTCTTCCTGCACATGTTAGACAGGCCTCTACTTTGATGCTGCTTAAATCCAGGCTAAAAATGGTTTTGTTTAGCTGCATATGACTAAAAGCTTTTTCATTTTTCATCTTCTCTCTAATTTAATGTCGCTTTATTTTTAATTTTATGATTATTATTTATGTTTTGATTTGTTTGTATTGTAGTTTTAATGTATTTCTTATTCTGTAAAGCACTTTTACCTTGAGAACGAATTGTGCAATACAGATAAACTCGCCTTGCCTTTACAATACATCTGCACAGGGGAAAAACTAATGTTGTTTTCTCACATGAAAACAATTGGGCGACTTCGAGACTTACCATTTGTTTTGCTGTCTTGTGGTTGTTCTTGACTTGTTTTCTCTTCTTCTGGGGTTGGTAGTGCACTTAAACTAGCCGCAGATTCAGAAGACGGCGGCTGCTCCTCCTCAGGGCTGGTCTCCACAGTGATCTCTGGTACTGCCGCAGAGGGGGGCATGGGCTCGGACTCTTCCACAGGAGCGGTGCCCTCTGACGGGGATGTGGGTGCAGGTGGAGGCGGCCGTGCAGCTCCGGTGGCCACAGGAGGAGGGATATCTGCCTCATTCACAGATCTGCCCTTTTTCAATGCAGTTAGCATGGACTGGAGAGACTGCACAAAGACAAACAACCATTTAAACATAGGAGCTGTGTTTTTGGTGTCAGTTGAATTTATAGTATTTGGAGTAATTATATGTAGTGGAAAAGTAGTATATAGAGTGGTAGTAGTATTTGCAATTGCAGAATTAGTAGTTCTAGTCTCACCTTAAGGCCACGTTCTAGTCTTCTGACTTTAGAGGCTTCTCCTGCTGCTTTAGCGTTCTTCAGTGCAGTCTGGTACATAGACAGCCGCTCCTCCAGAGTGTGCTGCACAGAGCCTGGAGCTGCAGAGGACACTGGGGCGGACTCCTGCTAAAGAAGAGGACAAGATAGAAGGCACAACCAGGTTAGCCCAACAACAAGCTTGAGGTGGTCGTATCTAATGCGTGTTATACACTGTACCTTTTGATATATGTAAATAAATCATAAATATATTAAAATAACACATTTTTTGGTACAGAAGGAATTTATTTATTGATTTAATCTAAATACGACTAAACTGCACTTTCTTTGTGGTGGCACTTCCGGTTAAGCAGGAACCCCATTCATTTAAATTGACAATTTGAGAAAAGTTTTCACTAAAATCTGTTAAAATCTGCTATAAAGTAGGTCAAGGGTCTTCAACATGTAGTTTGGGAGCTACAGGCTCTATTCACGCTTACATCACAAACCAGAAAGACATTTGGGCTCGCCGACCAACTGTGACAAAACCCACTGAAGTAAATGTGTTCAGCGGTAAAATGAAGACTGCATACGTATGTGCTGTGTGGAATCATCTTGAACTTGGCGCCCTCACCTCTTCTAATCGCATGTACCCAGTGCACTCGGAGTTGTGTGTCAGTGGCGAAATGATGAAAACTGAGGTGTGGCTGTGATTGTTGTGTAACATAAAGGAACATTACAGTGACATGCAAATGAAGAAAACTGGACCTGGGAAATTGTAATCGCAATTTCCATACGTCTTCCTGGTTTGTGACGTAAGTGTGAATAAAGCCTATTGCTCTTCACCCCATTCCAAGTAGCCTGAAAAACATATTGTGCTGAATGACTCAAATTTGATGAACTGCCATTGTAAATTTATCATTTTGATGCCTAACTTTGTGCACTAATAAATGGATAAAGATTTTTTTTTTTTTTTACAGATATCTAACTGTTTCCCATCTAAGGCTTTTCTATGCTTATCATTTTTTGTGACCTCTGAAATTAGTCACTCTTTGGCATTTTCTCTTTGTAAAGGTAGCTCACCGAAAGAAAAGGCTGGAGACCCCTGAAGTAGGTAGATTTGTGTAAAATGTTCAATGTTCACGTGACCAACATGTCAACACTGCACCGAGTCTGTAACGGCTTTGTAGTACGTATAGAACTTATTTTTTGTGAGATCGGCCCCATGGAAAATAATCCCACACATTTCACATTCAGTACACTTACACTTATCATAGAAAGTACACGTATTACACTGTGATACGTGTACTTTTGAATGTACATAATGGGTGCTATTTAAAGGCCCTGAACCTGTAACTCGATGACATAGGTAGAGATTCTGTTTTAGAACTTACCACTACTTCCTGTATTTTTGTACTTTTCTTCTGAATGTTTTTTCCACAAACTGCCACACAGTTGATATAAAACTACGATAAATATTTACCACAGATACTATCCCACCAAACCAAGTCAGAATTGGAAAAACATGAAAATGTTTTGCGGTAAATACAAAAAATCTGATACAAGGCCTTTAATTTTCCTCTTCTAGTAGTAGTACCAGTGCAGGAGGAGCCTCTGGAGTTACTGCTTCACTCGACTCTGTTGTAACGGATGTGGTCTGGCCAGAGTCTTCATCCTCTTCCTCTTCCTCATCACCCACCACTTCCTGAAGCTCTGCCTGGAAATCAAAAAAAAAAAAAAAAGGTGTGGTTTACCATCAAAAGCCCTATAGTTTAAAACTGAGCTGGGGGAATTTGGTGTCAGATAACAGATCTGTTGGCCTAGTTTATGGTTAATGTCTCTAATTACTTGGCCTATGCGCATGAAACAAAAACTAACACAAAGTTCAACATTTGCTCTGTCAGTGTAAATAAACCAAAGTGAAATAGTCTGAAGGTGTTTCATCATCAAATCAGCTTTCTAAATTAAATAAAGATTAAAATATACAAGGACAGGAAATAAAGTATCAACATTCAAAGTTTAAATAATGGACCTTGTCACTAATACCCAATGGTGGAAAGAGTACTGTAAATTTGTACTCAAGTAAAAAGACTGTTACATGGCTAAAAATGTACTTACTCAGTTACAAGTACTGCTGTCAAATTTGTACTTAATCCTTCTAGACCAGGGGTGTCAAACTCATTTCGGTCCGGGGGCCGTACCCAACCTACTTTGAACCCAAAGGGACCAGATTAGAAAACTCATGGCATATATATCCCAAAATAGCAATAAGTTCAAATCTTTGTGCAGAGAAACGCAAATCTATTACAGAAATATTTTTTTAACTGATGAACTCTTTCTATTACAAAATATTTCTAATATTATGAACAACCTGAAACTTGAAAAATGCAATTTCAACACAGTGTTTTAACATTAACTTGTATGCAAATAGGAATAAGTTAATTTTTTCTTGGAAAATCCTGCACTCGGCTCCACTTTTCTCATTTTTGACATTTTGTTGATGAGGGTGTCACTGTCAACAGTCAAAACGATCATCCTTTAAAAGAGGCAAGGCTTCATTTGAGCCTGCCCTGGTGGGAGGCCTCCACGTATAGAGACGCTGGAGATACTGCTGTGATAAGCGGCGCAGAAAATCAGCTGAGGGCCAGATTAAAGGTCTTGGAGGGCCGGACCCAGCCCCCAGGCCATATGTTTGACACCCGTGTTCTAGACCAACGGTATCATATATAATACCTGGAAATATGTTTTATATAACTGCGCATAACTTTCCAACCATAAAAGACAGAAACTTTTTTTATCCTTGAAAAGCCGAGTTGTGGCTTTCTGAGCATATTTCCGGCATTATCCTACGTCACACACCGTGTGATGACGTAGGGAAAACAAGTGTCCAATAGAAACTTTGTTTTCCACCAAACGCATGCTCTCCATCCATTTTGATTGGCCCAAACTTTACCAAAGATTGTAGTGAGCCAAAATGGTCGATTGTTCTGAGCGTCTGTGTTTGTAACAATTGAAAAAGCCGCTCTAAGTGTGGTTATTACTCAAATAAATGACGCATCCCTTGCTATTTTTCTTTGTACATTTGAACTGAAATGAACCTTCCAAATACAAATGTAATAAACACCATGAAAATGCAGGAAATGATGTGGCTCTGTGCCCTGGACCTGACACGAGCTGTTTTCATGACTGGCACCAGGAAAGTCATGGGGCCACTGCAGTTTTTTTTGTTTTGTTTTGAGGCAAGAAGGATATTTTTAGTTTACTTACAGACTTGATATTTTACACTTTTGTAGCCCTAAATTAAGCATTTTTTATGTCCAAAAAGTTGTTTATACATGTTTGCTGTGTAAGAGTGGGAATTTAATTTTCAGGGGGTTTGTTTGTTTTTTCATTTGTATTTCTGGTCCTATAACATTTATTACAGGAACATGACACAACTACAGCAGCATATTGTGAAATAAACAAGTTGTACTGAAAAAAGGATGTATAACACTTCAGGAAGGGGGTAAAAAGGGGGGAGTTTTAATAGCAAACTTGAGAAAAAAAATCCAGGCATGGACAAATGTACTAAAATTGTACTTTTTACAATTGGATTTTTACTTAATCCTTCCAGACCTAAAAAAGTACAAATCATGAACACCACTCAATGTTACTAATTGCTTTTCAGTACAATTTTAGCAACATTTTAGATCAGTCTTGATAAATTAAACTGCATTAAGTTGTTTTAAAGGGCAATCTGCATATTCTCGATGCTGTTATGCGAGTTTGTAAGTATAAAGAGGACCAGAGACAGTTGTGTTTTAGGGTGATTGGGACCTGTACAGTACCCAGTAACTAAAATCATTTGAAATGTAACTAGCAACTAATTATTGACTAGAATTTTACCCATTTACAATAACCCCAAAATCTACTCAATTACAGTAACTTGAGTATTTGTAATCAACTATTTTCCACCCCTACTAGTATTACATAATACAACTCTTATTCTTTTTGTGTATAGTTTAGGTAAAGCTGTAAATGTTAATGTGTACAAACCAACAGATCTTCATCATCTTCAACATTTTCATCATCGTCATCCTCTATATCTTTCATACATTCGTCGGCCATTCGAGCGATATCCTCCATGGGCAAAGGAGCTGAGACCACAGAACCACAACAACAAATTCAGTGTTTAAATATTTCAGAGTAGAGATGAATTCTTTATACACTACCAGTCAAAAGTTTGGACACACCCTTTCATTCAATGTTTTTTTCATTTGTTTACTCCTTTTTGTACTTAGGAGTAAACAAACAGAAGACATCAAATATATGAAGCAAGGAATTACGTAGCAAAAATGTGAAATAACTCATCTAAATATGTTTTGTTGACAGCACTGTAAACCTCTGGCCTTCTCTCAATGAGCTTATAGTTCCCTGAAATGGTTTTCACTTCACAGCTGAAACTTTAAAGGGTCAAAGAACACCCAGAACCACGATCAAAGCAAATGGTAGAAATATTTTTTTTAAATCTAGTTTTGATTTGATTTTATTTTTTTTGAAGGGGTGTAATGATATCCAAGTCTCATGATACAATATCATCACGGTATGAACCTCACGGTACGATATTTATTGTGATATCGTGGGAAAGTTCACGATATGGTGGGGAGGCTCGCGATTAGGGATGTAACAATATCCAAACCTATCGGTACAATATTTTCACGATATACATCTCACGGTACGATATTTATTGAGATATTCTGTGGAGGCTAACAAAACTGTTAATGTGCTACTTTTTCCTCTTAAATTGTCTTGACAAGACTTAATCCAAAGAACTCAGACTAAAAACTGTTATTTCTTCATGTAGTCTACACTGAAATGGAGCAAAGGATCATGGTCTATGTAGTTCCTTTTGTCTTTTTTAGCTATTGCTGCACCGTAACTCTTAACTGAAACAAAGAGACTTGTAATTAAATATATTGTGAGGGTCCACGATATTATTGTGAGAACTCTGATGATATGATATCATGATATTTCAGTTATTGTTACATCCCTAGTTTTGCCTTCAGTGAGAATCTACAGTGTAAATATGTCATGCAAATAAAGCAGAAACATAAATGGAAAAGTGTGTCCAAGTGTGTTACATATACATATACTAACACTACCAATCAAATGTTTTAATAGAAATTAGTGCTGTGTAATATATAGAACAATGGATCTTTTTAAACTGAGAGGTCTAGAGCCAACGTCAGTAAAAGACTTTGGAGGAAGTCATTTAGCTATTATTTGTTAAATAATTTAATGTCTCTATTGTTTAAGTACAGAAAATGAATAGTCATTTATTTGCTTTTAATTAGACAAAATAAAGCTGATTAAAACAGTGAAGAAATGCACAAAGTCACAGTACTCCTATTATATAAATAAAAGTGTTGAAATAGTAGTTATAATTAACACCAGTCAGAATGTATGTCCAGTAGTAAGTAACAGTCTTTTTCCCCAAATATTTTTTAAGTGATTATATTTGTTTGACTTTTATGGGGGAGTCCTGGCCCCTGACTGAACCCTTATGTACCCTCATTTTAAGCTTTTAGATGTCTACAATTTCATTTTAGTAAAGAAAATCATATCGTATATCTAGACATTAATTTGACAAAGTATCGATACTGCAAAAAATCACAATACTATGACAAAATTTGAGCTTTCCTGAATAGTTTAGCATAATTTTGAGCTTTATCAGAACTAGCAGTAGATCTGATGGTAATAAAGAAAATGTTTCCAGTACTAAAAAAGTCACATGTTTTATCTTCATTGTGGTATCATAATCGGCATTGGATCAATTCCTTAGTATCTGAATCGAGTTTGAAATTTGAGTATCGTGGCAAACAGTCTGCTCTAATCAAATAATGTGTAACTGATAACCGTTTTATGAGGAACACTGACGCATGCTCAGACCACAGTTCAAACACACTTACCCTTGCCTTTGGCCTTGGCTCGCCCTCTGGCTGCAGCTTTTCCCCCGGTGAGAGCAGCCAGTTCAGCCTCCAGATCCGGGTCGTCCAGGTTTTCATCCATGCCCTTCATCATGTCCTCTGGGTCCATAAACAGCCCCATCTGAAACCAGGAAGTACCCGTCAAAATCCCTCTCCTGACGACAAACGCCACGGAGATGGGACACACAGGCCTGGGTAGAGCTCAGGATTAAATATTAAGTACACTGCATTTTTGATTCATATAAAATTATTCTGATACTAGGGTAGAGTTAGATACTACAAAATAATAACAAATACTACAAGTTAGGGTTGTCAAAAGTATCAAAAATCAGGTACTAAATGAGACTAAAACTAGTATCGAAACTAGATTCCCATTTGAGCAGGTATCGATAATAAAAAGTCACATTCACAGGACAAAATTAACCTTTCCTGGTAACAAACACATTTTGTAGAAAGTGGAAACCATTTATTGACTTTTTTGAAAGTCTAAGTTATTGTGTGTTGTTATTGTTGTTGTTGTTGTGTGTTGCTGTTATTGTTGTGTGGTGCTGTTGTTGTTGTGTGGTCCTGTTGTGTGGTGTTGTGTGATGTTATTGTATGCTGTTGTGCGTTGTTGTAATTGGTGTAGCGTGGTGTTGTTATTGCTGTTGCTGTGTTATTGCTGTTTTTGTGCGCTGTTGTTGTGCGTTGTAGTTGTTGCTGTTGTGTGTCTGTGTGTGTGTGTTGTGTGTGTTGTGTGTGTTGTTGTGTGTTGTTAGTGTGTTGTTGTGTTGCTGTTGTGTGTTGTTGTTATTGTTATTCCGTGTTATTGTGTGGTGGTGTTATCATTATGTGTTGTTATTCCTGTTGTTGTGTGTTATTGCTGTTGTCGTGTGTTGGTAATAGTAGTAGTATATTTATTATCATTCTATTATTATTATATAACACTACTCGTATTTCTTGAGTGATTTGTTTTTGTTAGTGAGCTTTGTAAGTTATTTTTTATCTGCATAAAAATGAAAACTGTGTGTACATGTGTGGTTTGAATGACATATCTAGACATGAAACCGAAAAGTGAACCTTTCCTGAATAGCTTGACCTGTATCAGAACAAATATAAGACAGTATAAGACAGAGATTAGTGTACACCCATGGACCACTGTGGTGATTTAGTTGGAGCCAAATGTTATGGGTGACGTCACACTTCCTCTTGCCACTTCTATCTACAGTCTATGATCAGAGCTGAAATTGAAGTGGTGACCTTCGGGTTGGAGGGCGAACTCTCCAACCACTAAGCCAGCACGTCCCCTCATCGGAACAATATAGAAATTTAATACACTATTGTAACTGTTCACTCACTTTTGATATATTTATCACTGCCATAAACGCTTCAATAACAAGTCACGGGGAACACCATACAAGGCTTTCTATGACAGCAAGTCGTTTTTCCTGAGATAAGATAAAAGCTTTATATTATAGCACATAAAGAAAGCGCTAAAATTAAATGCTGAAAATATTGTTGTGCTATCGAAAGAAAGTTTTTTGTTTTATTACAAGGTATCCCCAGGTTTGACTACCCCAAATTTGAGACTTTTTAAAGACCTTTTTAAGACCACTTATATGAAAATTAAGACCGATATCTCACCCACTATGCGGGCGAAAAACACCAGATCCAATTCTTATAATGACCATAACTCACTGCTTAAATAACAAAAAATACTTTAAATATAAAATCTCATTCAGAACTCATTTATAGTAGTATGCACTGCTTGTAAAATGGCCAAAAATTTGAAAATCATTTATAATTTTAAAAATATATTTATGTTTTTTTTTTTCCTCTCTCGATTTCACATTGCACTGCAGCCTGGTTAAGTTTACAAAAAAAATAGGCTACTGAAATTTAAGACCTTTGTGAAAATGATAAGACTTAGACAACATAATTTAAGACTTTTTACAGCCCCGCGGCTACACTGTATTATCATTGTGGTATCTAAGTTGATCGAATATCGAGGCAATCTATATCAGAACTAGTACAAGACAACATGGTGACATTGAAGGATTTAGAATTATTTGTGATGAAAATTACATTCTAAAGAAACATTGGATGTATTATCATTGTGTTATCAAAATGTGTATTGTTTGCAGGTCAAGTTCCTTGTTTAATATACTGGAGATCTATTTACTTCAATGTTAGATGTTATTAGATGACACAGACAATTGTTTGGTAATATTGTTCATTTCAGTTGTTAATTTTGTTAAACCCAGAAGTAGCTCCGAGTGTAGTCCCAGTTGTTTGTTTAACCACGGCTTAAACTTGATTTATGTGTGTGCAGTAGTGAGCAGCAGTAATTTTCAAGTTAACAGCCGCCTTTAACCTTTTGTTCAGAGGAGAGTGGAAATTTCAGGGCTGAAATTATCCAAATGATTCTAGTGAAGGTGAATCTTTTTTTTTTTTAAGGTGAGTCTCGTGAACATTTCCTGTATTTCCACATGCCTCCAGGTATGTTTTTGATGAGGAAACAACATAATTAAATAGATCCGAATATAGCGTCCCGTAATATTTAATCTCGTGGGATTTGTCTGGTTAAATATTAAATTAAACATCAACAAATTAAGTTTTGAATTGTCATTTTAGCTCTTTTTTTAAGCATTACTTCCTTGATGGAACTGAATGGGACGGTGTAGCGTGGAGTATTGTCAAGATACTGAAATTTCGAACTCAAGACTTAATATCGAGTCTGTTCCTTGATATTAAGGAACAGACTTGATACTCAGTACAGACTCTGATACCACAATGATGATAAAAACACTCCTTGTTTAGGCAAAAGAGTGTGATTTACAAAATAATATTACCGCGCTTTCTGTTATATTCCCATGTGGTCTTATATCTGTGTAATCCCTCAGTGGTCCAGGTAGGTTCCATAGTGGTTCATGGGTGTATATTAGTCTATGTGCTCTTATACTTGTCCTGATAAAGCTCAAGATCATTCTAAAGTTATTCAGGAAAGACTCATTTGTGTATCAATACTTGCTCAAATGAGTATCTACTTTTGATACTGGTTTTAGTATCAATTAGTACCAGATTTTTTAATCATTTTGACAACCCTAACCCGTAACCTTTTCAAATAATTTCCCTTGTCAACTATTTTCCCTTGTCATGTATTTTCCCTTGTTCAAATAATTTCCCTTGTTTCAAATAATACTCTTTCCAAATAATTTCCCTTGTGGATCAATAAAGTTTGTCTAAGTCTAACCCTCAAAGTGGATTAACCCTAGTGAATTAACCGTGGATCTATGTTATTGACAAAAATATACATGCAATTATTATTACCTGTTTGGCAGCTGCAGCACCTTGGCCCCTGGACGCAGGTTCCTTTTTCTTTTTTGCAAACATGCTGTTCTGTTTTCAAGTTGTACAAGTCTCTCACACTAAACCCTATGAACAAGAAGACATTACACACTTATTGAGTAATGTCAACAATGCTACGTGGAGTAATCACGTGCTCGGTTGTCATGTGCCTCCGAACTTCAGTCACTCACATCCATTTAATAAACAAACACCAACTAAAGCATCAAATTATTATCTTTTAAACTGGAATGTTTGTTTTTGTTTGTTTTTATCAGCCTTGATTAGAGAAATTAAAAGTAGCGGATTAATAGATAGTATCGGATTGGGCTCATTTAAGTCCACACTGTGTTTTAAAATGACGAAAGCAGCACATTTACTGCCTAATACATTGCAAAAGTCTAACACATGCCCCAAAATTTCGTAAACAACTCGCATTTTTGTACAAGTGAGCAATTTAAGTCCTGAAAAATAAATACAATTTAGCATTTATTCCCAACACTAACATGCAACGTTATTTTTACTGTTTATAATCTATCATAATGTCAGTTGAATTCGCGTTAAGAAAGGTTTGATGAGGAATGTGGAAGTTTTTGACAGATCACCACTTCTGGTCACAACACTCCTGTCAAATGACGTTAGCGCACTGGCTAGCTGCTATTTAGCTAAACAAATCATTACAATCTAAAAGTTTAACAACAGAAACAAAGCAGGTGGGCCTGGGTATTTTGTTAAAATATGCCAGGCGGAGTTAAAATGTGAGAAAGTGGTGGGGTTTACCTGTTAGTCCGCCACTTCATGAGTTTCAGGTTTGTCTTTCTCAGTGTTTTACATGTTATGGTTTTGTTGGAGCACGCATGCGCAGAAGAAGGGAGCGCCCGGAGACATGCAATAAACCCCGAACTTTGTCTGTCAGGCACAAAGACCGTATAAAAAACAGTATACACATAAAATAAATTAAAAACAAAAATAAAAATACATAAGAATAGTCTGGACCTCATTTTAAAAGTGAGTATTGATATTCACAGTTTAATTGTTCTGATTACTACAGTGTTCAGTTGTAACTTTTGTGTTCTTTTTTTTTTAATCACTTTATTTTTATTGTATTTGACAGGTTTGTAAACATAACAAGAAAATAGAAAAAGAGGAGAAATAATAATAGTAATTTTTGTGTTCACTGTCACATTAAAAGGGGGAGCTATATAGTGGTTTTAATTGATTACTTTTCTGGACTAGGGAAATATGCATAGTGGTCAACTGAAATGCATTTCTTTTAATGTGAATGGGGTATTAAATCCAATTAAGTGAACAAAAATTCTTTCTAAACTTAAAAAAGAAAACGTATATCACCTCAATACCTTCTGGTGAAGATTTGTTATTTTTTATTTTACACTATATAAAACAATATTTGCTCTTTCCATCTAAAAATAAAATGAAATAAATAAAATAAAATAATATGTAAAAATAAAACTGTAATAGAAATTAATACAGTCTATGATCAGGCAGGTGAATTTAATTTAAGATAAGAAAAAAATGTATTTATCCCACAATGGGGAAATTGTTGCGATCAAGAATTATACTCAGTTATACTATTATAGGGCTCATATTGCAATGTCTGATCCCTATATTCTTTTTTTTCTAATCACAAACATACTTGGCGTCATATTTTGTTTTATTCACATCTTTATCACACAAACCTTGCATATTTAGGCTGCATCCTCCTCTCAAACACTGTGATGTTATGTGTCTAATCCAATCAGAAAGAAAAATGAGGCTCACATAAGTCTCTTTTTTCAGTTTCAACACTGTGATCCAATTGGTTTAAAACTTTTAAACCTTTCTGATCTGAACTATCACTACCTAAACTTCATCACTTGCAGTCAGCCATTTATCAGACAAACATGTACCGTTCACATAAACTTTAGAGATAAAACCTCAACTTTTAATGGTAAAACTCTTAACTCTCAGTACCGTAACTGGGGCTAAATATTTTACTAATCTGATTTAAAAAAAAAAAAAAAAAGTACAGCATTTTGTTCATGACTTGATAAGATTCAAAGGAATTTCAGGGCTCGTTCCAACAATAATAACAAACTTTAATTTCAGTTTTATATTTTATAAGAACAAAATTGTTACAGGCAAATGACAAACGTAAAAATGTGGTTCACATTCAACCATGACAATTCCAGCTTTTTGGTGTTGTTAAGAGTCTGGATGGGGTTGAATGTTTTTTTGAAATGCTACAGACTAATAACTTACATTACAACAGTTTTTGCAAAATGAGAAATTACAATAAAATGTAATATACAAGCATACAGGTGCTTCTAAATGATGCAAATGTTTGTACTAAAACGTCTACATGCAATATTTTATCATAGTGCAAAGAAACATCATATAATGGATTATACTCAGCAATTAAAGGTCCGTCTTTGTTATTGCTTTGCCAGGGATATTCCACAGTATGGCATTTAATTCATTCATCTCCGTGGAAACAATCAGGTGGTCATATTTGTGGAATTGACCCTGCTCACATTAAGAAAACATTATTTGTCGAGCAGTAACAACACCTGAAATTTAATAGATTCAAGATAAATGAAGACAAATACATGGAACCTTCCAGGCAAAGCACTCACATCTCCACGGAAACAAGCAGGTCACAAAAACAAAAAAGTTACCTAGTGCACATTTAAGCCATGCAAATGATAGATAGCGTATATAAATAATTGCTAAGCTTGTACAGTTAAATTAGATGCGTTCACACTCCTGGTCTGAGCTCAGTTTTGACCTGATGTAGGCTTTTGGTTTGGTCCTGTTCTAATCCTGGTTTAGTCCTGGTCTAGTCTAGGTCTAGTTTCAGATTTGGTCCCAGGTTAGGGTAAATTTTGATGTGATGAATGTGTCAATGGGCCGCAATCGAATCAAAATCGCAATTTGAAAGGGCACAAATTGTAAATTTCCTCCAAAAACAACACAATAACCTATCTTATCTCAATTAAAACTTCTAACGCTGTACTTTAAATCTGTACAAACATGTTCTGAAATGTGATTAGCGCATTTGTTTTTCATTTAATATTTTAGTCTTTTTGTCAGTTCTTCTGAACATGTTTAAAATATGAACTTTAAACAGTAAGTAATCGTAAGTAAAGTGCCCACATTGTGCTATTTTCTTTTCTGTTATAATGTTGTTTCAGAATCAAAAACAGACCTGGAGTTTTGTTTCATTCACACATGTTTAACACATAAAACCTGCGTATTTAGGATGAGCGGAATTACCATAACATCACTCTGTTCCACCTTGTGACATCATGTGGTAATACAAGAAGTGCTCCATTGTGTTTTTAAACTCCATTGCCATTCACTAGAATAATTTGGATAATTTCAGCCCTGGAATTGCCAATCTCTACAAAACAAAAGGTAAAAAAGTAGCTCTTAACTTGAAAACTACCACTACTTGACATCACAATGTAGAACAGAGCATTTTGAACTTTGAAGACGTAGATGGACTAATAAACAAGGATTACTCGGACGTGTGAATGAAACAAAATGGTCCGTATCATTTGTTCTTTTGAATTTCATTTTGGAACGAAAAACAATAAAATGGGAAAACAGTTATTTCATTATTCCGCTTTAGTGTAAAAAAAAAAAAAAAAAGATTTCAACCTCTGTTTCCAATATTTAATTTAAAGATTTATTCAAAGAACACCAATCAAAAAAAAAAAAAAACAGTCTTGGTGCTTTTTTCAGTTTTTATATTTTATTCTCTCTGGTTTATATGCCCCAGGAGTTCTGCTGCTAGAAGAGAATAAAATATCAAAATTAAAATTGTCACCAAGACCATTTCTTTTGATTGGTGTTATTTGAAATTAACTTCAAATTAAATATTGGAAATGGATCTGTTTTCTTTTTTTTTTTTGGTTGCTAAAACAGAATAATGAAATAACAAATAGTTTTCCCATTTTATTGTTTATCATTCTTAATTGAAATTCAAAAGAACGAATGGTACACGGACCCAAAATACAACTTCAGGTATGTTTTTGAGAAGGTAACAACATTATAACATTAGAACTTTTAAAACAAATTGCAAATCTAATCTCAACCTCTTGTCAGAAAAATCACTGCTAAATATTTTTCCCAAATCTTTCAGCCTGAGTATAAACGCAAAAAGTTCCCTGTACATTTGACCTTCTCTACAGATCCCTGTGATTGCTGCTGAGTAACACGGGGTAAGACGTGCCGATCGATCTCCCGTAACGATAAACAACCAGCTCTAACACATACTCATCGATTTTCACCACGACAGAAGTCATCTTTTCGTTGGACATGAGGAAGATGATGGTGAAGAGAGCCACTTCAAACTCGGGGCTCACTCCGATAAAAGACCCCGCCACCGGTTTGACCAGCCCCCTCCAACTGAACTGCAAGTTTAGGACGTGATCATCCTCATCGGGCTGAAAAGACAAGAAAAAGAGCAAAGTGAACATTTGATACGAAGCCGCTGATACCATCAACATTCTCTGGGGGTGTGACGCTAACTGGATGCACTGCTTGGTCTGAGGCTTTGTTAAACTTCAAAAACGACTTTGTTTAATCTCACTTAAACAATAATATTGCTAGATGTTTCAAACTTTGCATCAATTAACTTTTTTTGTTTTAATTATTATTTTTATTAATGAACTTGTACTAGTCATTTGCATTGGGGGCACAATTTTGTCAAGAAAAATTTCTCTACAAACACATTCATTCTTTCTTTCTACATTACTTGACAAGCTTGACATCCAGAAAAGTCATATAATTCCAAGTAGATTGTAGCGTATTTATTTATTTTTTATATATATAACGATAAAAGAGTCAACAAATACACAGTAGAACAAAAACAAGGGCAAGTGGAAACACATTTTTAAAACCTTGTCTCCTCTCCTTACTTCCTTTCCGTTAGACAACTGATTTACACAAAGTCAGGCCTCGAAACTGCTATGTTTTGGATCCACTTCTGCCAAAACACGTAAGATTTTCCTTTTGAAGTTTCAACGACACTGTAAGTCTTTCCATCAAAAATACTTGAATAAACAGTATTGACCATCTCTTCCATTACTGGTACATCAGTTTGAAGCCATTTTCTTGTCAATGTTTTTTTTTTTTTTGTGTGTGCTCATAATAAAATAATCCTTAATAGGTATTTGTCCGCTACTGTAGTGACATTTGGAATCTCCTGGCCTAATTGCATATATAGGAAGTCAAAGGGAATATCGAAGCCAAAAATATTTAGTAAACTTTGATGAAGCTCTTGCCAAAAAGGTTAAGATTTTTGGGCATGCCCAGAATAGATGATAATGATTGGCCTTCAAGCTGCCACAAATTCTCCAACAGCCAGATCCTACATTTTGTTGGCTTTTTTGAACTTGGGAAATAAAAAATCTGATAATATTTTTCCACCAGAATTCCCTTGCATCAGTGAAATTTAATTTGAGCTTTGATTTAACACAATCTGGCCAAAAAGAACTCACTTAGTTGGAACTACAGCAGGTGATTTGTGCTGTTAAACAAGTCTCTTTCACATAAAATCACTTTCATTTTTTTGAAAATCAAACACCTAAACAGGACCACGAATGCTCATATTGATGACAGGCTCCTGAAAATGTCTTGTTTAAGTCCAAAAGCTTTTCAGGCTGAGTTTGCTCAAGTGTGCATTGTGTCACCATGGTAACCGCTGAAGATTCCGCCATAAACATACACGCGGAAGGATCAATAGGCCCCTGTCCTCTATCTGAAATGATGACATTATCTATTTCGAGAACGTGAACGCGGTCTGTTAATAAATGACTTATTTCTTACTGTATCCTTGTTGGCTCGTGCTTTGTAGCCCTTGTAGTCCACATGTCCGTGTCTCTCCTGGAGGAAGAACTGGACCCAGTTGTGAAGGCCCATGATCTCCTTGTGGTTTTTAGTCTCTCCCACAAAAACATGCTCGAATCCACTCGAATCCTCCCTGCAAAAAGACCAAAATACATTTATTCAAGCATGCATTGTTCAAACGATTTTAGCTGTGGCTCATAAAACAAAATGAAATGTTAAGTTATTAAGAAACACCGAGTTCCCAAATTTTTTTTCTGGAGACCCATATTTTAAAGTCACAAACCTTTGCGACAACCTTTGAGTCAATAGACATTATTTGTAAATCATAAAATAAAGTTGGATTAGACCATTATTGAATATTAATGAGGATATTTTATTGTTGACTGAGTGATCGTGTCTCTCTGAACAATTAGTTTTACTCAAGTTTTAAACAATTGAAAACAGGAATTGAAGCAGCAATAAAAGGATCCATAAGTCACCTATTTGGACACTAAACATAGCTCATTTCTTTTTCTTTTCAACGTTCAATTGAACCAGCAATATTGGAACAAAATACTTAATAAAATAACTACAAAAAGATTAGAAATTATACAAAACATGTCTTAACATTTCAACATTTCGAATGAGATAGGTGGGCCTGTCTGCCTTTTTGTAGAGCGTTCCAGTCCGGGCTACAGGAGGAGAGAGCAACATGCATATCAGGTGGCCCAAAAAAAAAGTCTTGTGGCCCACCTGAAGGTCCTGACCCAGTCTTGGGAAACAATGGTCTAACATGTAATCTAGGATTGTCAAAAATATTGAAAATTTGATATTAATCAATACTAAAACTAGTATCAAAACTAGACACTCATATTCACAGGACAGAAATAAACCTTTAATGAATAAATTTAGAATGATCTTGAGCTGTTTCAGAACAAGTATAAGAGCACACAGGCGAGTATATGCCCATGGACCACTGAGGGATTACACACATATAAGACCACATGGTAATATAAAATAAAATACTGTTATTTAATGTTGAAAATCACTCCAGTGCCTAAATAAATGTGTTTTTATTGAAATTGAGTGTTTTCTGTTTGAAAGACTAAGCCTAAGCAGAATTTGTGACTTAAACATGTGTGAATAAAATAAAAGACAACTCCAGGTATGTTTTTGATGAGAAACAGCATTATAACAGATTAAAAAATGGAGTAATACTGGCCCTTTAAATGATTTCTACAGCTTTAGGAAAAATTAAAACATATAAAGCTATACATTGTAACTGGTGTAACTACATTGGTCCCATTAAAGTAATTATATGAAAGTGTATCAAGTGACTCTCTTGTAAAATAATTGATTCACCAAAAATAGAAATAGTTAAGTCCTTGACGGTCACAAAATGATACAAACCCCAGCAGCGCCCTCTAGTGTCTGTTCACTCACCCGTCTCCTCTCTGTCTGTGGTAAAGTCTAAACCAGATGTCGTACAGCTGCCTCTTAAAATCCATGATGTTTGACGAGGACTGGCCTTTTCTCACCAAGTATTTGTGAGCGTACTGGAAAAACAAGAAACAAACATTGTCATTTTACCATGTAGCCTATATACTGGTAATAAAAACAAAATTAGCAACACTGTATAATTACTACACCTAATTAATCTTACACTAAAACATCAAAAAACACAATTCATTATGAACTAATAGTGTATTAAGAACAACTGAGTCTTTGTAACACCTCCCAATCCTTAACATTCAATAAGGTGCGTTACGGAGCCTGACCTAAATACCAAAAAACCTAAATAAATAACATTTACATAACCTATTTTCTCACCTTCATGACCTCAGTGTCCACGATGGCGTCGATAAACAGCCTCATCTCCTTCATCTCCTCGGTGGTGACAGTCTCTCCCACTCCAGTCGACATCTCGTAGTTGTCCAAGAGGTTGATGAAATCTACACTCAAGCCAAATATATAAAATTAGACAAGAATTCATTGTCTTTAAAATATTGTGAGAATTGTAATTACTACTCTTACTACTATTACTATTGCTACTATTAGGGCTGGGCAATTAATCAAATGAATTGTATTAATCTGTGTTTTTACTAGGAGTGTAACAATATCCATGTCTCACGATACGATATCGTCACGGGATGAACCTCACGATATGATATTTATTGCGATATAGTGGGAAAGCTCACAATATGGAGGAGAGGCTCACGATTAGGGATGTAACGATATCCAAATCTCTCTGTATGATATTTTCACAATATACATCTCACGATACGATATTTATTGCGATATTTTGTGGAGGCTCTGTTTTTTTAGCTATTGCTGGACCATAACTCTTAATTTAAGTAAAGAGACTTGTATTTTGATATATCGTGATGGCCCATGATATTATTAAGAGAACTTTGACGATACGATATCACGATAATTTGGTTATTGCTACATCCCTAGATTTAAAAAATATAGCTAAATCGTGAAATTGAGAATTATTATGAAACAAGTTTATGGTAACTGAACACATTTTTATCAAGGAACCACTCACCCATTCACACACACACTCACATACACCAGTGTAAACAAACACCGGGAGCAAGGGGGGTTAAGTGTCAGACCCAAGGACACGACACAACGACAGCATTCACATCTGTCGGAGCTGGAATCGCATCGCCAACCTGTGGGTTAGCAGTTCTGACCGCTCAACCAAATGTTTACAAGAGAGAGAGAGTAAGCAGGATTCAAACAGTTCACTCCTGGATTTTTCAATTGCAAAGCAGGGTTTTTGTAGCCTGATTCATCAGCCGGTTTCACTTCATGGAAGCTGTCTGACTTCAAAGCATTAGAATTTGTTCGCTCGATGGTAGACGGGTACTTTTTTTATTTAACCAATCGCTGCTATTTGGTCATGACATATGTAATGCACTGCTAATGGTGCTAAATGGTATATTAAGCTTTTCCCAAATCCTGTAGGAAGAAGGGCAATAACGTCTTTCCCCTTGATAAAATTCACCAAACATTCTCTTTGTTCCGGCTTTAAATCCTCGATTTCGGGAATCAACACAGAATGTATGGCTCTTCACTGATTCTTCTTGCAAACTGTCTAGTGTATTCCGATTTCTGACCTAGTCACTGGAGAGAAATGAAACTGAGCGGAGGCACTAGGTGGCCAGGGTTTTTGTGCAATTACACAACTGGCATTGCCAAAAAAATCTCATTCTAATTTAAACTGATGAGATGAGAGTACATGTTTATACAAATGTAATTGAAAGCAGTTTAAATAAAGCGAACAGAGGAAGTAAAAAGAACTTCCTCATTTAAAACAGTCCATGATCTGACTTTGATTTAAAATCTGTTGAAATCATAACTGTCCAGTCTGTGCAAAAAAGTGCAGATTTTGTTTTTTGGCCATATTATCCAGCCCTAGCTACTATCATGACAATACTAAACAATTTTACTAATACTACTACTACTAATACCAATATCACCTCTGCTCCTATAACTAATTATAGTACTATTACTTCAACTACAACTAAAACTGCTACCACTATAGCATACAGTAGAACAGTTCCAGCTACCAAACACAAAAAGTGAGTATTACTACTGTTAATTCTGATAATACTACTTCTTTCTACTACTACTCACGTGCGTATGTCTCGATGTGCCTGAGTTTGTCTGTGTCCACATATTTAAACAGTGGGTCTCTGGCTCTGTCTCTGGCGTAGTTACTGCCCTGCGGCACATAACCTGCTCTGCCCTGTAAACAAAAACACAACAAATACAAACTATGAAATCACAACAATAACCCTTTTTAATAATACATACAATAGAGTGTCATTTTTAACACAAAATTATAGTTTCTTTAAAATTACAATGTAGAGATTAAGACCATTCAAAAACTAGGGAGGACAAAAGTATTGAAAATCAGATAATAATCGACAGAGATGGGACCAAGTCATTGTTTGGCAAGTCTCAAGTAAGTCTCAAGTCTTTGACCTCAAGTCCGAGTCAAGTCCCAAGTCAAACACAGGCAAGTCCAAGTCGAGTCTCGAGTCACTGGCCCATAAGTCCAAGTCAAGTCCAAGTCGTCTGCTTTGAACTTCAAGTCATTTCAAGTCTTTAAACCAAAATACCAAATACAGCTTAGATTTTTGCTATTTATGTGAATTTTAAACTAAATTGTAAAAAGTCATGGTATATTTATGTATGAATATTTGTATAAGAGTTGTAGAAATACTGTTTTTTCCTTTTTAAATGTCTGGACAAGATCTTAGTGTGAATCATTACAGTCAGAATAGAAAGAATTCAGATTTAAAAGTGCTAAATAACAGTTATATTTGTTTACAGTTTTACTGCATTGTACTGTATATTTCTGCATAGTATTGTGTATTACTGTAGGTACATTTGAGGAGGATTTTTAGATTGATTGATTTGTTTCGGTCACAGGTATATTCTGACATTATTTCACCGACAGTCATATTTAACATACACAGACCGGAAACGTGGAGGCTGAAGCTTGAGCTTATTCTGCCTTTACTCTTTATTCCTTTGTCAGAGCGTCATCTTGACACCAGTTCATCTTCATAAATACAGCAAGAGGAAACAAACAAATCAGTAACAGTACAACAAAGTACTACAGCACAAACTAAGTATCATATTTCATGTGACTTATTTATAAACTGGAAGAGTATGGTGCACAATTTTAGGTCTTCTGTACAATTGTTCCAGAGCTCCGCCCCTTTAACAGATCGACAAAATTTCATAATGTTTGTTCTGGTTTTCTTTTTGATAAACATGGCCGTATCTCTGAACTCATATTGGCATTTGTCAACTGTAAAGTGAAGTAAAAAGTATTTTCTTAAAACATATATATTTTTAGGAGAGGCATCAAGTCTCTTCAAGTCACAGGCCTCGAATCTCAAGTCATTGACCTTTAAGTCCAAGTTGAGTCCCAAGTCTTAGTCCATTTAATCAAGTCAAGTCTCAAGTTCTAAAAATATTGACTCAAATCTGACTCGACAAGTACCGAAACTAGATACTCGTCTGTGCAGGTGTCAACACTAAAAAAGTCACATTCAAATCAAGTACTGAAAGTCTAAAATGATACTATTGTGCCAACCCTAGTTAGTAATAGTATTTTAGTACTTGTAGAGAGATGATGTAGTCTTCTCCTGGTTTGAGACGGTTGGTGTCCAGGCGCCAGAGTTCATTGAGCACTTCTGTGAGCTCTTGACTCGCTTCTTGACTGAAAAAGAAAAAAAAAGTTTAGTTTTATTACTGTGCTTCAAAACATGTGTTCCTGATTACTCTGGTGTTTTGGAGTAGCAGTAATGCAGCCGTTTTCAAATCCTGCGTCTACTCTTTCTCATCTCAGTTTTCTTCTGGTTTTGTTGAAAGACCCAGTACAATAGTTTGGAAATTTGACACGGCGAAGAGAAAAGGCCAGTCCCTCACTGTTTTTACTATCATAGTCCTATCATTAAAGGTCCTCTTGCAAGTTTTAAGGCATGTTATAATGTTGTTATCTCATCAAAAACATGCCTGGAGTTGTTTTGTTTTCGTTCACACATGACATTTGCATAACCCTTTATTATGAGTGTCTACATCTCCAAACATCTATTATCTATCTATGTTTCAATAAACCAATTTATTATCTATCTATCCAAGGACATGAGAGTGTTAGGTGACATTTCCATAGTTAATGAATGTTAAATGTTCCACAGTATGACATTAAACTTGTATATCTCCACGGAGACAAGCAAATAGTGCAGCCGGGCCAAGATATGGGTCATATTTTTGAGCAATAAAAACAGATGAATACGGAATAAACTGAAGGAAGGCAAGGTCAATGTTTAATTAGAGGTGAGTATTCAGTTTTATTTACTGAGTTACATTTATTTGAGTATTTTTTTTAATAAATTGTAGCACCTTACTTTTGCTCCTACTTGAGTTGACTTGAATATTTGCATTTTTCTTGCCTTTCTTCCTTCAGATATGATTTAGTTCGTCTCATTTTTGTGTCTAACCTTTGAAAATACCACATTTTCTATTTTATTTCATATTAAGTCCAAATTACATTAACTTCAAATTATAAATCAGATGTTATGTTCCGAAAGTTGTAATTTACACTCAGTTTTCTATTTCTTTTTCTTTTAAACCCTGCTTGAGTAATTTCTTGAACCACTACTTCTTCTTGAATAATATTATTTTGATGTAACATTACACTTGAGTACAGCTTTTGGTGACTCCACCCACTTCTGTGTTTAATGCCATACTGTGGAGCATGTCAAGCAAAGCAATAACATCTCCATGGAAACAAGCATCTTAAAACAAACTTCATCCTTCCTCAAATCTTACGCCGAAGTGGAAATTTCTGACTAAGAGGCAAATGACAGGAAGGGCCATGTACAGCTACGCCTTTGTGCTCTAATTATTCCAGTGAACAGTTATATGAAAGCTTGACCCAAAAAAAATCACATTAAATCACATTTTTGTAATTAAACACACACTAGTTCTTGCCAGATTTGGTTGGCTTCAGTTACACGCATGGATTGTATGTTGCATGTCACTACAAATTTTTTTTACCCTTTGCAGCAACACGTTAAATAACAGCTCTTCCTTGCACCCTGAGGGATCACCACTGCATTGCGTTACAGTATTTTGCAAGATAATATTGTTTAACAGGACCTACAAGTGTCACCTTTCAGTATCTCTAATGTTTACATAAAATACTGACTACTCAACAAGAAACTAGAAGCTAGAAACTTATAAAATGGCGTAGAAAGTGGAAAAAAGTTGTACAAAACATACCGTCTAGACATGTTTCCTCTCTGTGTGCAAAAGTACTTTGCTCAAACTTTTTGCATGTCCGGGGATGTACAGTTATCTCCGTGCACGAAACCAGCCAATGAGACGCCACCAAAACAGACGCACCTCCTCCATCTCAACAAAAGGGCGTTTAATGTTGTTTACACATTAAAACAACTAATTAATTAATTGTTTACACACATAAATCATGAATATTTAAACTGTTGTTCTCCTAAACTGAAAATACTGTTCCACCTTGTAATGAAAATGCTCCCCTATGTTTTTAAACTCCATACATCTTCATTTATTTTGGGCCATTTTAGGAATTTATAGTGTTTGCTTTCCACTTTAATTCTCGGTTCAGTTATTTTAATCTTGGATGGAAATGCAAAATCTGAAAACAATTTGCGTTTTAGTTCTTTACCTATCACCCCATTAGTACGTTTCCTATCACTGACAGATATTTAATTAATTTTTAACTCTGGTTATTGAATCAGAATAGAGTGTTTTGTATCGTGTTTTTAAGAGGTAAATGAACGGCGTTACATAATTTCAGGAGCATATTCGAAGTTACTTATGAATAAAAATGTATACAAAAAAATAAAATAAAATAAAATAAATGTTTTGAATTATTTGGATAATTTCAGCCCCGAAATTTACTGTCTGTACTAAACAAAAGGCAAAAAGTAGTTGTCAAAACTTACAAAACATTTGTATTTTATTATTATTTTTTAATAATCAAAATAAATAGCTGTTATATTTAATTAAAATAAGTCTAAGTCTACGTCTATGTCCAAGTCAAAATAAGATAAATAGATAATGTTTTATTGATCCCCAAGGGGAAATTCTGCCTTTTTTTTTTGATAGATAGCTAACATATAAACACACAGATAAATAACATAAAATTCAATTCATCCAAGAAAATTAAGAAATAACAGGGGAGAAAAAATTTAATTTTATTTTGAAGGGCACGGACCCGCCCATTTTGAGGAAGAAGGCCACTGCGCATGTGCTGATGCCGCATGTTTTGGAAGAGTAGCACAACTGTTAGCTTTGAGATGAAATTATGCGTATTTAAACACTTTATTCAGGCATTTCTTGTATCTTATGTTGTTGTCGATGATTTGTCTTAGTTTTGGACGTTTTACAGCAGATTGAACGTAATTATAAACCTGGATATTTAGTATTTTAGCCAGATAAAGCAGTGAAAGCATGGCTGCAGTGTTGGAACTAGTCGCAGGGAGTTACGAACAAGTGGTGTGCGGGTACAGAGTGAAAACCGAAGAAAAGGTAAGATCAGAGTAAAGGCAGTGATTGTTTGTGTTTTGTCATTATGTCGATTACAGCTGAAATATGTAACTTTCTAATGGAGGAGTAAAGGTGCGCTGTGACTTTTGTAGTGAAGGGTCCATCACTTAATTGTCTTTTCTGTGGGAAAACAGATCAAACAGGGGAAAGCTCGTATTTCATTCAGTTTATTTTGTATAGCTCAAAATCACAGCAATTGTAGAAAGATAGAAAATCAAGCAATGAAAAAGGAGAGCTCCGTTCCCATGGACAGATAGGCTGTAGATGTATCCAAGACTAAACCAGGACCATAACAGGACGCAGCTGCTGTAGGTGTATCCAGGACTGGCATGCACTCAAGGATAGGGACAGAGATAGGGTGAGGGTCCAGTATTATAAAGCTGGAAAGATTTAAGCTACTGTGTCTGGGCAAATTCTTATATAAGTAACACAGATATATTGTTTAAATTACAAAAAAAATGCAATACAAATAGCTCACTTAGTTGGATATAGACAACGTATGAATGCACTTTTTTGCCAGTCAAAGATGCTGAAATTTGGGAACCTGGTAAAATTTTAAACATGCCAAATCTTATTTTAAAGCGAAACTCAACCTGCTCCCAGAAAACATTCAAAAACTGTTCTTCTCAAATTAATTCAAATACAACCTGAGAGAATTCATTTCAAAAAACAATTCTCTCGGACCACTCTCAAAAGCATGTGTGTTACCAGACGTGGAATAGACTTGGAATAGTTTAGATGATCGTATCAAAGCTTGTACAGACTTGGTGCACTTCAAAAAACTATCTAAAAATCAAATCTTACAGAAATACCTAGAAGACTAGATACATTGTCTTCACAAGTAAACCACCACTATAAACGAAACACGTGCTTTTCTTTGACATTGCGTTTTGTTTTGGTGCGATCAAGGACGATGAATTTTGTGCCTTCTTTGTCATTGTTGGAAATGAAAACAAAACTGTCATTTTAAAAAAAAATGAAGATAAGAACTAAAAAAAAAGTGGTTTATATTTCTGTTAGAAGGGTTAGTATATGGAACAATTTGAGTGATGATTTTTATAAAGTCTAACACTGTAGGAGGCTTTAAAAAAACAGTACAAAGCGTTAATAATATAGTATAAAGTATATAGTATAAAGCGAGATATATAGAGCTCTGGAATTAATGAATTTCTTTCTTGGAATTCTGTCATTGTTTAATAGGGTTTGGCATTATAAGTACCTTTTACCTTCAGCCTAAACCGTTTTGGTCATTATCCATGGGTTTGTAGTCTGTTTAGTTTTTTTGTTTTGTTTTCTAGTGCTGCAAAATGACAGAATAAAAAAAAAATACTACTACTAAAAAATGTCTGTCAATTGTGAATTTTGATTTAAATCACAACTAATCTGTGCCCAAAGTATGATATTCTGTTCTTCTCTTTCAGGAGTGGAGGGCAGAGGCAGACTTCACCCATCACACTCACATAGCCTCCATCTCGGCCATCGCCTCCAGTGAGCGCTTTGTCGTCACCGGGAGCAAAGACGAGACGATTCAGCTGTACGACCTGAAGAAGAGAGTGGAGCATGGGGCACTGCTGCATCACAACGGTAAGGCTCTAAACACACCGTGTTTACAGCAGCACCTCGAGCAGGACGTCTGCAGCTCTGGCTCTGTGTCGCTCAGTGGGAAAGACGTTGAGACTTGAAGGAAGCGTTTAGCTGCAACACGTCTACAGAGAAACTAACTAACTGAATAGACTTGTATTTACTAATATAAAAGTGTACTGTACTACGATTTCATGTTGAAAATGACAACGTACTGTCTAAATAAGGAGTTGTTTTTATTATCGTGGTATGAGAATTGATAGTGAGTATTGAGTTTATACCTTTCTTAGAATCCGCTGGGTTTTTTCATATTGCATTTTAAGTTTTTGCGAGGTTTTTATCTCCACACACACAAGCCCTCAGCCAAATGAACTGCAGAATATACAGCAGCACATTCGACAGTGCATTACTTTTTTGACAGTGTGTTTTCTTTCCAGGTACAGTCACGTGTCTGGAGTTTTACGGTTCGTCTCATTTACTGAGTGGAGCAGAGGACGGACTCATCTGTGTCTGGACCACTAAGAAATGGGAATGTCTCAAGTCCATCAAAGCTCACAAGTCAGTCAAACTAAAGGGTCACAGTTTACACGAATGTGAAAATATACATTCATAGTGCTGAAATATAATTAGTGATACTAAAATGTCCAAATAATATTCTCTCCACTGGCACATGACTATTCTTTTCTTTTTTAAGGGGCTCTGTCTCGTCCCTGTCTGTTCATCCTTCGGGGAAACTTGCACTTTCAGTCGGCACAGACAAGACGCTCAGGTATATTTCAGTTTTTGTTTCTCAGTTCAAAAATATTGATTCATCTAAGAAATTTATTGATTTTGGCCGCAAAAACAATTATAAAATGCTTAGATTACACTTGAAAAATGTACAGTGGTTGATGTTAGGGATGCACCAATCCATCTTTTTCAACTCTGATACTAATTTCAATATTTTGGCTTTAAGATATTGACAGATTAGTTACCTATTTTATAATTAGTTACCCTGTTGTAAAAAAGACCCAGCTGTGTTACGTAACTCGGCGTCAGCCAATATGTTTTATTACATCCAATTAAAGGCCCAACCAGGATATTTGCTGAACCAATATCTGTTGAGGAACTGATCACCGATACAGCAGCAAAATTTCCAATCTCGATGTAGCTGATTGATCCTTGCTATTATTGCTGCATTTTATATTAATCCATTTTTGGGCAGCTCTCCAAAAGGCTGATAGAGCCATTATTAGAATTGTAAATAAAATATTGTGTCTCTGTTTTTGTAGAACGTGGAATCTCGTCACTGGACGCTCAGCCTTCATCAAAAACATCAAACAAAGTAATTTTATAATACTTATGTTGCTAATTGCTGAACTTTTTGTGATAACTCAGTCTGACAGTATCCATTTTTTTCGTTTTTCTTATCAGATGCACATATCGTCCGGTGGTCACCAGAGGGCGACAGATACGTGGTTGTGATAAATGATAAATTGGACATTTACGACACTCAAACAGCTTCAGTGACAGGAACAATTTCCAACCCAAAAAGGATTTCCTCTATCAACTTTATCAATGTAAGAGTGTGTTCATGCAGGCTATAGAAAAAGTATCTTGATGATTTTATGGTTTGTTTTTGTCGTATTTTAATTTCAGAATAATAAATTGGTCAGTCAGCATCCAAATTTAACAATGGTTTAACCAGGAGTAACTTTTTTAGAAGTGTAGTTACAGTGTAGTATATTTATCACATTGTCAGATTTGTGTTTCTAATGAATATATTTGGTTATTTTTTATTCATTTTTGCCTAGAATTCAATGCTGGCTGTTGCGGGAGACGATGAAACTGTACGACTGTGCGACATTGAAAAACAGCAATGGGTTTGTGAATTCAAGGCTCACGAAACAAGGTGAATTTTAAACTCATTTAAAGGCGCTCTCTGTAATTTTCTGTGCCACTTATGACTTTTAAGTATAAGCAGCGTTGCCTCAGAAATGCTCAGTGTACTTATAAAGACTTAAGTATATTATGTACTGATGTTTTTTGAAACCTGTAATTGTATTTTCAGGGTAAAAGCAGTGGACAGTTTTAGTTGGGAGGATTACACTGTAGTGGTGACTGCTTCGAATGATGGATTCATCAAATTGTGGAAACTACAGCTAAAAGAGGTGCATATTTTGGTTAATTTGATAGAGAATGTTTGGAAAATTACTTGCATTAATTAGTCTATAACTTGCCATACTCACTTACTGCATTTTTCCAAACAGGAGCTAGAATCTCCCACTCTTCTCGGGGAAGTGAACACATCCGCTCGACTCACCTGTTTAGCCGTTTGGAAACCAACGTCACTGAAGAACAAAGAGGAAACTCAAGATGAAGCTACGACATCTAAAACAGGTAAAATCAGCTTCTGTATTTTTATTTAATGAGCATATGTGTGAAAAATACAAATAATCCTGTCAGTGACTTTGCTTCACTGCGGACGCTCAGATATTGGAGAAAGTAGAAAATGTTTTATCATTGGCACTTATTAAAGCAGACCTATTCTGCAAAATTGACTTTTTAGAGCTTTTAAATATGTGATAGTTAGGGCTGTATATCATTAAAAATTTACCAATATGATACATACCTCGATACATAGGCCACAATATGATACATATCTTGATACAGTGCACTTTCTATTCGATATATTTCAAATCAATTTAAAAAAATTAAGTCTAAATGATGGCTGTGATTCTAAAAATCTTTGTTAAACCACTTCTTGTGCAATGAAACACACTAATTTCAATCATCAAAACTGTGAAAATGTCAAATGTGTCGCAAAAATGAGTTTCCTTCCATTAAACAAGCAACAAAACTGTAGCTCTGTAACAAAATAATTTTGTAAAATATACCAAAAAAATGCTCTTGGCGATATATCGATACAGCAGCCCATGATATCGATACTGTATCATCACATTAAACTATGATATATCAATATTTCAATATTTTTGCACACCCCTAGTTGGTTCCCCTCATTAAGATAAGATAAGATAATCCTTTATTGTCTCCCATGGGAGAAATTTGTCTTGGGACAGGGGGTAACATGTTTTATCAAAAAACAGGACAACACAACACAAAGCAGCACATAAACAAACACCATAAAACAAAGTAAATATGAGACCAGTATGACCACGAGTGATGCACCAACAGGACCCTTAAATTATCCTTAACAGGCAAACCCTTGCATTCTTCTGTTCTATTAATTATTGCACATTCCCTAAGCCTATGTGCAGTTTTAGTTATAATTATTGCACATTCCCTAAGCCTATGTGCAGTTTTGATTGCACATTCCCTAAGCCTATGTGCAGTTTTGATTGCACATTCCCTAAGCCTATGTGCAGTTTTGATTGCACATTCCCTAAGCCTATGTGCAGTTTTGATTGCACATTCCCTTAGCCTATGTGCAGATTTAATTATTGCACATTCCTTAAGCCTATGTGTAGCTTTAATGGCACATTCCCTACACCTATTAGTTACCCTCTCGAAGTTGAATGTGTGATTCATGGATGTTTGAGTTGTCTTTAAATGCTATTTTGCCAATCAATACCCATGTTCACCTCTACAGTACATGCCCACCGCTCTCTGTACTTACTTCATTCTCCAATTTTAGTTTCTTAATCTGTGATACGCGTCAGGTTCGTCTTTTTAAAAAAAAAAATCGTGTGATGTGCAGCTCTCCATAGAAGGTGCCAACAGCTGCACGGCTCTTTGTTGTGATGACATTTACCTCAACATCAGCTTTCCACTGTGCACCATAGTTTTGCATTTAAAAATCTGCAAATCTTTTATTAAGTTGTTTTAGATAAATATTGCAATTTAAAATGTTCAAATAATAACCTAATGATCCACAAGCACTATATGTCTTATTGTACTACTTGTTGCAAATACATGAAATCTGAACAGTTTCTTTTCTCGTAGAAATACCCAGTGATCTGCTGAGGCCAAAGAAAGTGCGAGTGATGGAGGAGGTGATTATTGAAGACGAGAGTAAACCGCCCAAGAAGAAGAAGAAAAAACAATCTGCCAAATAAACACATTCTCTGGGTCAAATAAAGTTTATTATAAAACATAAACCGTGCTTTATGTTGTATTCTGTCATGCATCTCTTTAAAGGTGCACTATGGAACTTTGCTGGTGTAGGATCTGCCCCCTGCCTGTTTCCATGGAGATGTTATTAGTTGGGAATGCTTTATACTGTGGAATTCAACTTATCTAGCTTGCATTATTCAATTACAGGTGTTTTTATTGCTAAAATACCATTACAAACATTATTACCGTGAGTTTATTCATATCTGAACTGTCACCTGTTTGTCTTTACGGAGACAGAGAAATTTAATGCCATACTGTGGAAAATTCTACATATTCAAAGTCATACAAAAGACTTTAAATATGTGATGCAAGATATGTGGTATGTAAGGAAAAAAAAGTTGAATTAAACTAAATATGGTTTTACATTTTCAGTAAAAATCCTCAAAATTTTCACCCTTTGCTTTACTGACACCAGTGCAAAGCTTCATGATAAAGTCTCCTGAAATTGTTTTTACTTCACATCTGTGCCTGGTCATTGTCAGTGGCTATTTTTAAATAAAAAATCTAAAACAGTTATTTTGAGTTTGCGTTTGCCACATTCATTCATAGTTTTGATGCCTTGAGTGAAAATCTATAATGTAATAATCATGGAAATAAAGACAAAACATAAAAAGTGTGTCCAAACTTTTCACTGGTCATTTTCTGTATTTTTCTCTTTTTGCCCAGAATTCAGTGCTGACTGTTGCAGGAGACTATGAAACTGTACGACTGTGAAACACTGAAAAACAGAAATGGGTTTGTGAATTCAAGGCTCATGAAACAAAGTGAATTTTAAACAAATTTAAAGGTGCTTTCTGTAATCTGTCATTTTCTGTAATGTTCTGTTCTTTCAACATATGCATGTAAAGATTTTGCTTGCTTTATTTTTTATTTATTTATTTTTATTCTCACCATAAAGAACACATTTGTACACATTATTCTCTTGGTATTGCATTGACCAGGGTTCCCACGGTCATGGAAATCCTGGAAAAGTCATGGAAATGGAAAATGTCACCTTCTAGTCCTGGAAAAGTCATGAAATTTTAATATCTCTTTCACTTAAATATAGCGTTCTGTTAAGTTCTCATTAGGCTATTATGTTTATTTCCAAACGTCTGCACCTTTTGTTTAAAGAGAAAAAACTATAATCCCAAACCATAAGGTGAGTGGAAAGGGTTAACATTTCATATTTAGCCCTAAAAATATGTTCAATTCCACACATGTAGGTGCCGTAAAGTCATGGAAGATTCACTTTAGGCCATGAAAAAGCCATGGAAAAGTTTTTGAAAACATTTTGTCAGTGAAAAAGAGTGTGAACCCTGATTGACACCAGGGGGCGCTTCAGAGTTACGGAGTTTGCAAACGTGTGAAGAAGTCAGGAATAAGGAAGTGTCAGAAAACCAAAACAAACTTCCAAACTGTGTCATTATTCTGCAAATATTCAGATCTGTAAGCCACAATCCCTCATTAAAACGCCGCTACACTTGTTTTCACTGTTAAACTGATTTAAGAGTGTAAATATTTTTGTAAATCGTGTTTTTTTTTACAGATTTGAGTGAGTCCAGGTGAGTTTTGTTGGACCATGGCTGCAGACCTCATCGGGTTTTGTTACGCCGCTTTAGTGACTCTGGGAGGAATTATCGGTTTTGCCAAAGCAGGTACACACATTTCTGCTCTTTTTTTTCCAATATCACAACTTTTTTCTAAACTTTTTTCGCTTATAAACAATTGCCAGATTACTACACAAATTATGCATGACCTTGACTGGTAATATAATATAATAATAACACCACTATTTTGCAATCCGTGAATTACTAACTCAAAATCTGGTTTGTACTCAATTAAACTAAACTACTACTAAATCTATAAAGAGTTAAAGGTGTGCCAGATGCGGTGACAGTCCCAGTTTTGAGCCTTGTATCCCCTGTCCCAGCAGATTTATCCAAAACCAGTGATTTGTCCCAGTTTCATACAAGAAATGTCCCAGGTGTCCCTATTTTTGACCAATTTGAGCCCTGCCAGCAGTAAAGAGAAGCATAAATTGTCATTTGTTTAAGTAAAATGCATAAAAGCTGCTTAAAAATTATTAAAACATACAGAAAATGTGATTATACTGACTCACATGTTTCAGTTTTCCTTAATCACGCACTCATTTCACAATTTTATTATCACCAGCCACCAAAAAAACAGGCATGTCCAAGTCTTTTATTCTGAAATTCTGGTCACACTAGCCATATATCTTTACTGGCCACCTGCCCATCACCATGTAGCTGTTATTGGTAGAGTGTTCCACAATATGGCATTAAAATTATTTATGAAGACAAGCCGGCGATCCCAGATCTGTGGAAAAGCGAGCCATGTTTCTAAATGTCCTATATTACGCAAAATGTTCTCTTGTGACCTTGCGCTGTGTTGTGTCAAAAACAAACCTGGAGCCGTGTTTTGTTTTATTCACACATGCATGAGTAACGCTTTATGATTAGTTTCTCTACAACTCCAAAGTTCAAAATGCTCTGTTCCACCTTGTGATGTCATGAAGTAGTAGTTTTTCAAGTTAACAGCTGCGTTCAGTAGACATAAATCCAGGTCTGAAATCATCCATATGATTCTAGTGAAAGTGTGTGGAGTTTAAAAACACAGTGGAGCACTTTCTGTATTACCACATGACATCACAAGTGTTTTTGGTTAAGAGAAAAACACTAAATATACTCTATAATAATAATAATATACTGTAAAAGCCTAAACATGAGGGACTTTTGTGTTAAACATGTGTGAATGAAACAAAACACAACTCCAGGTCTGTTTTTGACGAGGAAATAAAATTATAACAAATCAGAAAATAGCGTACCCTTTAAGGTAAACTGTGACAATTAAATAAATGCAAGATAGACGCCATAGGTTTAATGCCATACTGTGGAATAGTCCTGGAAAAGCAAGATACTTTTTTTCCTTTTCTGTGGATTGTTTGGCTCACGCTTAGAGGAATTAAATTGTGTTTGACTTTTCTATTTTTTATTTATAGTTTCCAAGACAAATTTCTTAGTTTGTAAACAATAAAGCCTTATCTTATTTCCATGGAGACAAGCAGGTGGCAGACCCTCCACCAGAAAAGTTACGTTAATAACATTTATTGTTCCTCCACAGGCAGTACCACATCTCTCGCTGCAGGACTCCTCTTTGGCTTTTTGGCTGCTTTGGGTGCTTACCTCAAAAATACATGGATTTCATTAGGTAAAATATTGGATTATGAAACAATTTATGAACATCCTCATCAAAAACATATGTGGAGTTAAGTTTTTTTTATTCACACGTTAACACTATGAACCAGATATTATGTGTTCTTAATAAAGATTGGATTGAAATTGAATTGAATAACACGTAAACCCTGCACATTTAGGCTGAGATCTTGAGATGTCAGTGCTCCATTGTATTTTTAAACTCGATACACCTTCACTTGAATCATTTGGACCATTTCAGCCCTGCCAATCTGTACTGAACAAAAGGTAAAATGTAGCTCTTAACTTGAAAATTACCACTCTATAACATTACAAGGTGAAATCACAACTCCAGGTATGTTTTTGAGTCAATTTTGTGCAGTATAGGATCTTTAAACTCAACTTTTTTGGCATGATTTTTTGACAGGCACTTGCGGGACGTTAGCGGTCGTCATGGGGATACGATATTTTAACTCCTTTAAGCTTATGCCCGCTGGTTTAATGATGATTTTAAGGTATTGTATCACAGACATATAAGATTATTCTGCACCATATTGTGGAAAAGTTCTGATGATTTTTGGGTCTTTTTCAGCGCGTTAATGGTTCTGAAGATTCTTACGTCCAAGACAAAAAAGACACATCAGTCTTAACAGAATAATTTTTGTATAGACGTGGATAGAGTGACCAAAATCTACAGTAAATCTGAAATACCAGCAGGTAGCAATCCAGATAAATCAAGTAAGAACAGAGGTGGGTAGTGGCCAAAAATTGTTACTTCAGAATATTACTACTCAAGTAGAAGTACAAAGTAGCAGTCCAAGAAATAATGCAAGTAAGAGTAACTTGAAGAGTTTCTGTTTTGGTGATTTATAATTTGAAGAACTACATAAAATCTGGTATTTTCAAAGGATAGACACACAAATGAGACAAACTAAATCAGATTTGAAGGAGCGCTGCAAGAAACACAAACGTTCAAATCATTTCATATCGTCAACAGAAAGTTTATGTTACTTTAGACTTGCTCACAGTGGGAGAGGAACCACTATTTTTCCTCAAGTAAGAGTACTGTTACTTTTACTAGGGGTGTAACAATAACCAAAATATCATATCATATCGTCAAAAGTCTCTCAGTAATGTCATGGGCCATCAAAATAAATCGAATTCACAAGTTTCTTTGCTTAAATTCATTTTTATAGTGCAGCAACAGGTAAAAAAAAACAGAGGAAACTACATCGACCATGATCCTTTGCTCCGTTTTGGTGCAAACTACATGAAGAAATAGCAGTTCTAAGCCCTTTTAAGTCTTGTCAAGGCATTTTAAGAGGAAAAAGTAGCATATTCACAATTTTGTTTGTAAGCCTCCACAAAATATCGCAGTAAATATTGTACCGTGAGTTGTATATTGTGAAAATATTGTACTGAGAGATTTGGATATTGTTACATCTCTAGTTATTTCAATAAAAATATTACTCAAGTAGGAGAAAAAGTATGCTGCTAGAAAAGTACAATTTATTTAAAAAGTAAATGTAAATATCATGTAGTTCCACCCACCTCTGATTATTTTTGTTAGACAAACTTGACCGATGTGAAGAACTGTTACTGTCCACCTCTGCTTCTTACTCGATTGTCAACACATTCCTTTCTCAAATCATAAACTGCTTCTGTTGTTTCATAATCACATATTCAAAATTTAGAGTGTATTTTATATTTATAGATGAGTTTGCTTTGTCTGATTCTTTCCTCTAGTCTAAGTTTGTGGTCTGGACTATTTAAATATTTTTGTCTATTTGCACTTTATCAAATGCTGGTAGTAAAAGCCCATATTATTATAATGTTGTTTCCTCATCACAAACAGACCTGGAGTTGTGTTTTGTTTCATTCACACATGTTTGACTCACAGATCCTGCATTTTAGGCTGAGTTTTTCTCCGAAACTGAAAGCACTCGACTGAACTAAAGCGAAAAGGAGCTGTTAACTTGAAACTACCACTACATCACAAGTTGGAACAGAGCATTTTGAGCTCTGGAGATGTAAAAATTATGTCAAAAGTCTCACAATAATACCGTGGGCTGTCACAATATATCGAATTACAAACTCCTTTGCTTAGATGCATGGTTTTATAGTAGCAACAGCTTAAAAACATCGGGAACTACATATCCCATGATTCATTTCAGTGCAGACAACATGAAGTTATGTTTTTTACTTGAATTCTTGAGCTTATGATGGAAATAATTGACACCAAAATCTTGTCAGGGTATTTTAAATGCAAAAAAGCATCCTATCTACAATTATATCAGCCAAAATTTTGCAATAAATATCGTACCGTGAGATGTATATCGTTATAATATTGTACCGAGAGATTTGGATATCGTTACATCCCTAAAACAGATGAATAATAAAGGATTACTCAAAAAATCTGTGAATGAAACAAGTTTTTGATGAGGTAACATGGCTTAAAGCTCACAAGAATCAATTTTATGTGATATAAGACCTTTAAAAGTGTATCATGACATTTTTATTAACTAAAATTTGTTATAATTGAATTGTACAAATACAGGTTTTTACTTTTACTTTATCACAATTTTGAATGCTTTCTACTGCTGTTTTTGAGAGTAACATTTTGGAAAATTGGACCAATACAGTATGTGCAAGATAAGAAACTTATTTTAAAAAGGTTTGACACTATTAAAACATATTATTATAAGCCTGTGTGTCCGTTTTTCCACCCACACACCCACTTGTTTACAAATGTCTTGAGATTTACGAGGGGCCGAACATGGGAAAGGTCTTCTGGATTCAGGCTCTGCGCTCAAACAACACGTCTCCACTTCAGTTCTTGGCAAAAGTGCAACATTTTAGACTTCCCATGAGTCTTTGGGCCGGTTTGAACTCGAGTTAATCACAAACAAACGGAGTAAATCACTAGAGTGGGCTATATGGTAAAATGAGATTCTTGGAAACATGCAAACGAATGAGCAGCTCTTTTCTGGGTGGGGGGTTGTGTCGTGTCCACTCTATTGTCTTTAAAGCATCACGTGTTTGCAGTTATCGGTATCCTCCTCCATATTTGGCGGTCCAGTCCACTCGTCCGTGCACTGGGGCGAGGTTTGAGCTACGACCAAAAGTAGACTTCAAAATGTGAGTCGATTTTGGAGTCTCGTTGCTGAAGGGTTTGTTGTTCCATCTGTTTTCATCTGAAGAAAAGAACAGATTAATTAAATATTATAAGAATAATTTAAACAAATATAGGACTAACGTTAAAGTGCAAATGGCAAGGTTAGATTATTAATTTCCAAAACATTGTTAACATGATTATATTCTAAATTTTACAATAAAACTGACCTTGTTTTAAAGTTTTAGGTTAAGTTTAATGACATACATAGAAATTATAATTAGAGAAATGAAAGTAGAGACTTGGTGCACTTCAAAAAACAATATAAAAATCAAATTAGAAAATTAGTAAGGCTGTCATATGTACTTTAATGTAAGAGAATTCATGTTACCTTCGTTGGAGAGAAGTAACTTTTTAGTTGCTGTTAATCTGGAGTCTTTTTTCAAGTTGGTGGGAGCAGACAGATCAACTGAAACAAATCAGAGCGAGATCAGTACAGGTCAGTGAGCCAAATAAACATCAGGGGGCGCTGTATACCTCCACCAGTGAAAGAGATAAAAAAAATAAAATAAAAAAATTTAGATACAAGTAAAATCACCCATCCCCCTCTAGAATGTGCGACTCCAACAAAAAACAAGAAAAATCTGTAGAAAAGAAATCACCCAATCCATGTATCATTTGTTCATTCATTTTTCAAAATAAAACCAAAAGTAAGAAAGAAAAAAAAAAAAAAAAAAATTTTCTTCATTATTTATTTCCAAAACCAAACCAAAATGAAAAAATTGATAACGATTTGTTTTTTCAGTTTTCGATTTTGTGTTTAAACAAGTAACGGAAAAAAACATTCGCACTTTTGGTTTTATTTTGAAAAACGAATGAACAAATACAAGGATACACGGATTTCACCCTCCAGTTTTGATGAGTTTTTTATTTAAAGATGCAGTGTATAACTTTTCTCGTGGAGTGTGTACCACTTACTTATTTCCATGAAGATCTATATGTATGAAGATGTATTTGCTGATTTACATTGCATTTATTCAATTCCAGGTGTTTTTATTTCTAATAGTAACTTGGTCTAAACACTAAAAACTAAATTAACTTTGAATCTTACCTATATTGAAGTCAAATTCTGGTCCCTTGGATTTACATAAACTGAAGCTTCCAAACTGGTTCTTGTTGCATTTCTGTCTCTCTTTACAGCTGCTTTTTGGGTTTACACCTGAAATTAATATTGAAAAAAATTATAAAATATATTGCACAGACTTAAAGAAGATGAAGTATTAGTTTTTTAGTGTTTCTTTGGTCTCACCGGGCATGTATCTGGACTGACGGAGGTAGTGCTGCTTTGCCGATAAAACCGTCGACTCAGATCTGTTCATTGTGGAGTTGGTTTGCTGCTTTAAAGACGCACTCGAAATCCTGCAGTAACACAAGAGACATGTTATTATGTAAGATAAAAGATTATTTTGGTCAATACTGACATCACGATTATTCAAACAATTATTTTTTAGTTACACGATGCACTTATTCAGCATTTCTTTCTCTCAAAACCCCACTTTGTTATTGATAATTTACGCAAAACTTTCAAATTGAAAATAAATATAGGCTACAAATATGAACCTTAGAGCAGTTTTGTGATGTATAAAACATAAAATTAATAAAATATACTTTGAACTTGAAATAAGGCATAGAAAAACATCTACGTATCCAAAATAAACTATATATCCAAATCCATGTATCATTTGTTCATTAATTTTTCAAAATAAAAACAAAAATAAGAAAAATGAAAAAACAGGTATTTTCTTCATTATTTGTCTCATCCATTACATATGATGATTATTGTTTAAAAGTAAACTACTCTCATTTAATGTCATATTTAGAGAAAATCAAATTGCTCTGAAGCATCGGCCATTAGTGACACTGGGGGCCCCTCCAGGTTTGGGGGCCCTAAGCAGCCGCCTACTTTTGCCTAATGGTAGCGCCGCCTCTGCGCCCATGGACCACTATGGAACCTACATGGACCACTGAGGGAATACTATGAAAATGTTTTTAGTATCATTGTGGTATTGGAAATGGTATTGAGTATCAAGTCTGTTCCTTAGTATCAAAATCAAATTAGAAATTGTAATATCGTCACAATATTACCATAAAGACAAGCAAGTTGCAGCAAATCCAGCATGAGAAAAATTACACATTGCACCTTTAAATAATGCTTTGACAACATATACAGTAGGTCTTACTGTCTGTCCAGCATCCTGTTTTTCCGAGAGTTAATCGTGGGTTTTTTGGAGATGGAGACAACAGCTTCTGCGACGTCTGCGTTATCGAAACTGTCCAGTGATTTAGAAGAAGTTTGGCCCCATCTGCGACGCCACGTTCGGGCACTGGGGGCGCTGCTCTTCGCTCCGGTGTGAACTGCTTTGACAGGCTTTGACATAATAAAAAAAAAAGATTTCAACATCATGTATTTGAAGAAATCCAAAATATGATCATCAAAAACACATGGGGGCAGGTGTCAGTTGTAGAGTAACTGTTGTACTGAGAAAGACAAAGTACAAGTAACTGGCCATTTTTACGTGCACCAAAATCTGATTATCTGATTATTATCTGACTTCTGGAGCTTTCAAGTGAATCTATTATGTAAAATTGGCTTTTTAGTCAAGTTATAGTTGTTTCCCTTCTCATTTACCTTTTTAAAGTTTTATTTAGAGTTATTCACGCGTGTTTGAGTCATTTTTAAGATATCACTGCTCCGATCTACCCTCACCAGTACACGCCCACTGTGACGTACTTACTGCATTCTCTAATTTTATTTTCTTAATCGGTGATACACAGAATTTGGCAGCAATGACGCAAGGCTGCCAAATCCTATAATTTTTAATAATAACCTTTATTGTGATGAGGTTTACCGCCAAGTCAACTCCCTTTGAGCACTGCTTTTCTAATGTCAATTTGTTTCTTTTATTAAGTCATACTAGATCAATATTGCAATTTAAAATGATAACGTAATGACTATATACCTGATACAAGAACAGTATGTCTTCTTTAAAAAAAAAATCTGATGTTTGTGTTCAGAGGGACCATAATCAGAAGCTGAGGTGGCTCGGGCATCTGTTCCTAATGCCTCCTGGACGCCTCTCTTGGGAGGTGTTCTGGGCATGTCCCACCGGGAAGAGTCCCCAGGAAAGACCCAGGACAAGCTGGAGGGACTATGACTCTCGGCTGGCCTGGGAACGCCTTGGAGTTCTCACGGAGGAGCTGGAGGAAGTGTCCTGGGTGAGGGAAGTCTGGGAGTCCCTGCTTAGACTGCTGCCCCCATGACAAGGCCCCGGATAAGCAGATGAAAATGGATGGATGGCATAATCAGAAATTTCAGTCATTTTTAAAAATGTTGAGTTGATATGATTCACTGAGGCTACGTTTATATGATGACGGTCTGAACAGAAGACGCAAAAGTGGCATTGCGTTTTCACTTTTTATTTCACGTTTAGTCGAGCGTTTTCGGGAGGAAATCTGCCTGCATACATAGAAAAAAAGTGTGTGGAATTTGATTGGATATTCATGCCAGGTGGCTCGGTGGTGACGCTCGGTGGTGACGTATGTGACGTAAATGCATACACGACGTGAGCGGATCTGACCAGAGTTTTGCGTCTTGGGCAGTGTAGACGGAAACAATACGACTGAGCATATTCAACTTTTCCACTCTGGAAGGTGGTTTCAGATTTTTGCATTTTTAAGCCTGAAAAATGATGTCACTATCAACGAAAGGCACTTCTGATAAAATATTTTGACATTTTTACCCGCAAGCGTTCTCATGTAAACAGGTCCTAAGACATAGATTTAGACTTAAACAAACTTTATTATTTGAAAGAATGGAAATAATTTGATTTAATTTCAGCTCTGGAATTGCCAGTCTCTCCTGAATTAAAGGTAAAAGTTGTCTGTTAACTTGAAAAGCACGATATCACAATGCATACATGACGTGAGCAGGTCTGACCAGAGTTTTGCGTCTTGGGCAGTGTAGACGGAAACGCTATGGCGGAGCGTATTCAGCTTTTCCACTCTGGAGGGTGGTTTCAGATTTGTGCATTTTTAGCCCCAAAAGTGCTGGCACTATCTAAAGGAAGGGCACTTCCGATAAAATATTTTGTCGTTTTTACCTGCAAGCGTTCTTGTGTAAACAGGCCATTAGACTCAGGGGCAGGACCACGCCTTAACCTCCTCCTGCTCCTCTTCAGCGAACCAAAGCCCGGCTGAATCTGCTGATTGACCACCTGAGACAGAGCCCCCATCCACATCTATCCATCGTCAATAAATATCCTTATCGTATTCTACTGTTGTCCCATCCTTGCTACTGAACTAATAATAATAATCAGATTTTCATTTAACTGGAGTTTACATGAAATGTCATTAATCTGATAACTCCGGAAACCAGATAATGATCAGATGTTTGGTTTGCATGTAAACAGTGCTGCTGAGCTCACTCACCTGTTGTGTGTTTTTGACCAGGCTGAGTGGCTCCTCTTGTTTGTGAGTTTCTTGTGGTGTTTGTGTCGTGTGCAGAGGGTGGACGGGCTGCAGAGGAGGAGGAGGGCTGTACTCCTCTGTCTCTGCGGGAGATTTAACCTGCTCACGAGAAGGGTCTGGGTGCTTCGTACACAGAGACAGAGGCTCAGCGCTCTCTTCCACAAACTTGGCCTGGACTTTAACATTTGAAACACCCACATGGAAGTATGGGTATCTGAGAGCCTGCAATACAAGAGAAATGTGGGGGTTAGGGCTGGACAACGATGACATTTGAATCAATATCGAGAATATTCCACTGCATATTTTTATTTTGACCCAAGTTGCCCCAAGAGACGAGAGCAAACCGTTTAAACATGATACCTGCACAGCGCTGGGTCTCTTGTCTGGGTCCCACTGCAGCAGGTCCCTCATCAGAGCTATGGCATCATCACTGGCGTTCGGGATCAGACTACGGAGGCTCGTAGGGACACACTTAGGAAAGCGGAAGTTCATGGAGGACGCCAGGTTATATCCTTCTGGCCAGTCCGACTGAAACATACAACAAATAGTGTTAAAGAATGCATACTGTGCTTGTGCCTGCTTATAGTTATAATCATTATGTTATGATTTGGACATGACAACAACTTCCAACAACAAATTTCTCTGACTTCTGTGAAATGTCGGACATACACTGTGGGATATGTACGATCAAATAGCAGGGTTTAAAAGTTCACAGCTTGTGGACTTACTTCAACAGTGTGAAACCCTCACAAGAGACGGCTGGATTTCAAACAGGTTTGATATTCTTACAGCCTACTATTACAGAATGGGAGCTGGTTGTGAGGTATTAATCGGTTCTTGTTACTCCTTGTATATTACACGAAGCACGACACATGACAAGACAAAACTCGGTCTGATCCCAAAAACAGATGCACAAGTGAAAAATCGGCTCAAAAAGGGCCAAAAATTGTAGAACTGAACTGAACTGAACCTGGACTACACCTGGACTACACCTGGACTACACCTGGACTACACCAGGACTGAACCAGGACTGAATGAGGACTAAATCAGAACTAAACCAGGACTAAACTAGAACTGAATCAGGATTAAACCAGGTCAAAACCAGGTCTTAAGCAGGACTAAACCTGGACTAATCTTAGACTTTAGAGCGAGAGAGAGAACCCCAAGCATGGGTGTGGGGTGCAGAGCTCTGTGCTGGTCCTTTCTCCTGCAGTCACCCGATGGTCTACACGGGCGCACCTCGAGGCCCATCCCTACACTCAGTCCTGGTTTCAATTCTGGTTTAGTCCTGTTTTAGTCCTAGTTCAGATCTAGTTTAGTCCTGGTTTAGTCCTAGTTTAGTCCTAGTTTAGTCCTTCTGATTCAGTCCTGGGATCAGTCCTGGTCGCCTCATGTCGCAGGTCCTCATATGAATTATTTGTTGAAATTTTGGTAGACTGAGACACCACTGATGGGTTAATCGACTAAACAAGGGCCTACAGTTCTACCGTACGTCCTACCTTTTTCAGCGTCCCCAGCACCTGACAGATTTTAAAGATCTCGTCGACTTCGCTGTTTCCGGGGAACAGAGGTCTGAGCGTGTAGAGTTCAGCCATGATACAGCCGACCGCCCACATGTCCACCGGAGAGTTATAGGACGTGGATTTGAGCAGGACCTCTGGAGCACGATACCTGCAATACAACAATATCTTACAACTTCACAAACCTGACGCAATGTGCAGTAGTTTCATTAGCACGCTGATTGTAATGTGTTGGCGCTCTGAAGGGGGAGTGACTTAGTGTGGAGAGCTAAGAGAGGGGGGGACTCAGAGCATCAAAAATAAAACTGAAACTTATTTTAAACATTTCAGTGAGTATAGTATTTTCCAAACCATAATGGGTAACATGCGCATTGCAAAAAACAAAATCTAGTCAAGTTATGATGACTTGAATTAAAGTTTTATTACAATTTGAGAAATTTCTCTTGATTAGTAAAATTATCTGCCAGTGGAACAAGACTTTTTGTACTTAAAATATGAAAATAAATCTTTCTACAATTAAAATAAGAAACAAAATCGAATGTTGTTTGAATTAAGTAAACTTGTTCCATTGGGAGATCATTTGACATTGTAGTTGAATCTACTCAAATGAAGTCAAATGTTCTTTATTTAACTCATTTTAACTTACCGAGATGTTGTTTTTTTCCCCAGTGTGGTGCTCTGTGTTATGTGCTAGCAGTTAATACCCCATAGAAATATAATACCCCCTCTTTAAACTTAAACTATTAACCTAAACTTATTTAAACCAGTATCAAAATGAACATTGTTTGTATTTCTTTAATTGTATCTATAGATCTAGCAGTTAGGCAGTGATAAATCCAGATAACTCTTACCATCTGGTGGACACATAGTCGGTGTACGGAGGCTGGGAGCGGATTTCTCGGGCCAGTCCAAAGTCTGCGATTTTCACCAGCTCTGGGCCCATACACAGCAGGTTCTCTGGCTTCATGTCTCGGTGGAAATAACCTGAAGAATACCATACGCCCATTAGATCACACAGAGCAGAGGTGGGACCCAGTCATTGTTGTGTCAGTGCCCCACAAGTCCAAGTCAAGTCCAAGTCCTCTGCTTTGAGTTTGAAGTCCTTCCAAATTAGAAAACTAGGGTTGTCAAAATAATCGAAAAATCAGATACAAATAATTACTAGTATCAAAACTAAATACTCATTTGAAAAGTAATTTATTCCAAATTTAAAAAGTCAAGTCTCAAGTCCTCAAAATAGTAACTTAAGTCTTAGTTGAATCCAAGTCCACTCGTCTTATATCACATAGTGCATGGGCCACTACACTAAACAAGAAGAAACAAGAAGAAAAAAGAAAAGAGGCAATATGTTTGGACACACTTTTTCATCAGTGTTTCTTCTTTATGTCAGTGATTATTTACGTTGTAGATTCTCACTGAAAGCTTCAACTATAAATGACACATGGAGCCACCTTTTGCTCTAAACCCTGGATGCAGTTTTTGGCATTTCCTGACCCTGACATGGCACAGCTGTGGGGTGAAAAGCATTTCAGGAGACTTCATGAAGCTCATTGAGAGGAGGGTGGCTACTAGGGATGTAACAATAACCAAAATATCGTGATACTGTATTGTCAAAAGTCTCACAGTAATATCGTGGGACGTCACAATATATCGAATCACAAGTTCCTTTGCTTAAATGCATCGTTTTATAGCAACATCATCTTATAAACATCGGGAACTACATATCCCATGATTGATTTCAGTGCGGATAACATGAAGAAATATGTTTTTTACTTGAATTTTTGGGATTATGACGGAAATAATACACACCAAAACCTTGTCAAGGTATTTTAAAAGCAGAAAAGAGTCCCATCTACAATTATATCAGCCTCTTCAAAATATTGCAATAAATATCGTACCGTGAGATGAATATCATGATAATATCGTACTGTGAGATTTGGATATCGTTACATCCCTAGTGGCAACTGTGTGAGGAATTAGAGTATAAAATATAAACATATTTACTTGAATTATTAAACTTTTTTTGTTTTTTTTCTTTGCAATATAATTCTTTTTCACAATTCTTCATAAAGAAAAAAAAAAATATGCAAAGGGGTGTCCAAACTTGACTGCAGTATTATTTTGAAGTAACGTTACTCTTATTTGAGTAAAATTTTTGGCTACTCGACACATTTTTTTCACAAGATACAGTAAGTACAATGTGTCAAAAATGTTTTAAAATGTTAAAATATTGATATCAGCTTTTGTAAATACTAGATATCAGCTAAAAACAGAATGAGAAATAACGTTCAATTTACATTTTGTTCTGCCAATATGGACCTCCAAATGTAAGTAAATACAATGTAGGTTATTAACAATCAGTATGCTGTAGTACATATGGCCTCTTTGCAGACTAAAAGTGTGAAATGAGAGGACAGAAAGGACTCTTACCATGTTTGTGCACAAAAGCCAAACCAGTCAACACCTGAAACATGATATTTCTGATCTCATGCTCAGAAAACATCCTTTCCTCTCTGCAGCAGAAAAGAAAGAGGAGGAGAGAAAGAGGAAGAGTGAGAGAGAAAGTAAAGATGAAGCAATGATCATGCTTTGTGGAGCGGTAGAGCTGGTTAGTTTTTGTAGGGATGGGCGATATATCGGCTCCAGTATCTGTATCGGCATATATTGATACAGATTAATCGGTATCAGCCAGTAATCGAAAAATGTTATAGGGCTGTATTTTTATGCAAACATTTAACAAATAATTTCATTTTCCAGACAAATATATTTCGGCAGTTATCGGCTATTGGCCACAGAAGCAGGACAAATATCGATCATTGGTATCCGTAAAAAAAAATATAAGTAAATAAAATAAATACATTTTGGGCCCATACCTACATTTTTCACTCACATGGTGTCTTAAGTTGAATTTTTAGATTTAAACTTTAATTAGGGCTGCAAGATTAATCACAATCATATCAAAATTTCAAATCATAAAGGCTGTAATTTCCAAAGCAGCATAATTTCTTATTCTGCTTAAAAACTACTAACCCTGTAGTTTAGATCTGCACAAACATGTTCTGAAATGTGATTCTTGTATTAGTTTGTCGGTGAATATTTCAGTCTTTTTGTCAGTTCTTCTGGGTGTGTTTAAAGAAAACTTTGAACAGAATCCTATTATCAAACTGGAACTAAATATATATTAAAAAAATTATATATGTTTTTGTTTTTTTTCCCCACTACTAAACTGTGTATACGGTGTTGTAAAATCTGTTCCTAGTCATTCTTGGCAGCAACTTTAGCGCAAACTAAGTACATCTGCAGCTCTAAGTTTGTGCTGCTTTCAGTGGCCTTTGCGATTTGAAGTAGTTGGTGACATCACAAAAGACTGCCCTGAATATAGCCAGGTGTTTCTGATACAAACACCTGGCTGCAGGGGCGGAGCTTGAAGAGTGGAAACCTGTTAGACCAATCACACTGTTCCTTAAACCCCCAGCCCCCCCCTTTTATTGTTCAGAGTTCTTCACAACTTGGTGGAAACAAAGAGAAAAGCAACACTACAGAGAGCCTTTGTTGTTATGAACTCCGGGCTGGTGTCACCTACCATTTGTGTGAATGTAGGAAAGTCCCTGTAATATCTGAAATATAATGTTTCTGACGACAGATTCAGGGAATAACTTGTTTCTGTGAAAATCAACCAAAACATCATAACTCACAATGGTCCAACTAAAAATTAAAAAATATATACACACTACCAGTTAAAAGTTTTAGAACACCACACTTTTTCCAATTTTTTACTATTTACAAAACATATTCTAAACTTTTGATTCATAAAAGTGTCCACCTTTGGCAGATATAACAGCTGAACACACTTGTGGCTCGTTCTTTTTACAAGAGAAATCAAATATTCTTCAGAAAGTTCTTCCCAAGCCTGTTGCAGAAGTTCCCATAAATGTGTGGCACTTGTAGGTTGTTTGGCTTTTACTTTTCTGTCCAGTTCATCCCAAACCAGCTCGATGGGGTTTAAGTCTGGAGACTGTGCTGGACACTTCATGTTTTCAAGCTTGACCATGTTGTTATTTTTTCCTGAGGTAGTTTTGGCAGAGTTTGGACTTGTGTTTTGTATCTTTTATCTTTTTTTAAACCTCTGCCTGTCCAGTTCTTACCTTTGTACCATTTCAAGCTCTTCATGGGACTTGCACGACTTGATTTGCAATAAATAACTGGAAAAATTACCGTGTTCTAAAACTTTTGACCAGTAGTGGATATTTTTAGGCCATTATTTTATTATTATTATTATTATTATTTTAGGAGATTGTCGACTATTGCCACAATAATTAACAATTTAAAACCAAATAAAGAACGACAACAGAGGATGCTGAAACCCAAATACTCTCCGTTTTCCCTCATACCCATTTATGATCCACAACTATCACTTTGCATTAGTGGCACATGTTTAGTTTCAGTTGTACATTATTCTACAGTCAGGTTAAAGTTATGATTATGTTTAGGAGTAGTTCATTTGGTTACATTTACAGCTTTGGGACAGGTTTGTTAGCTGTGTCTTGGCAGAACTGCCTTGGGGAAACAAATGAAGCTATATACTGACATATTTGTTCTCTCGATATATCATTTATTTTTGTATTATTGTTTTCTATATAAAGAATGTAGGTTAATATATCTTACCTTTCTTTCATGAGCTGGTAGAGGTTTTCCTTCATGTATTCAAACACAAAGTAGAGCTGGTCATTTTCTCTGATCACCTCCTTCAGTTTGACCACGTTGGCATGGCTCAGTTTCTTCAGAGACTATCAAGTGAATAAACAAAATATATAGTCAAAATATCCACAACTGAAGATGCAGGAACTTGGTTGTTGAGTTATTACAAAAAGGAAAAAAGTAACTGTTGTCTTTTTCTTACCTTCACTTCTCTGAGATTTAAACATTCTTCCCAAGAGAAAAACTTCCT